TTTATATAAATTTCTTTAGTCTTTTAAAAGTCTTTAGCTATAGTTTCTCCCTGATCAAGCGCTTATCTCCATCAATTTCGCTTTATAGCAGCCTTCGTTTTTCTTTTATGAGCTTTAAAAGGAGATAGTTGCTCTTGATTGTTTATGAGCTTGTGTCAAAATGTTGCAGATTAGTTTCGATTAAGGAAGTGTAATACATTTGTTAACAGACACTCACCAAATAGATTCATACATCTAAAAATAATCAAAATCCAACTAAGCATACTTTCTATGAATAATTTATTGATTCCTAAGCTCGAGTTGAGTGCAGGCTATTTGGTAGTCCAACTTGCAACATATAAAAACTAAAACGTCCCAAGTAAACAAGAAAAAGAAAAATATAAGATAGCACTCAAAAATTGTGTTACGTATGAATAAGTTTTTATGCAAGTGTGTGTGCGTGTGTGTGTGTGCTTGTGTGTGTGTGCGTGTGTGTGTGTGTGCGTGTGTGTTTGCGTATTCTTTGTGAAGCATAAATCAGAGAGTCGCTCCAGACAATAACCTACCATTCTCGTGTGGAATGTGAGTGTGTGTGTGTGTGTGTGTGTGTGTGTGTATCTGCTGGCCTTGCCACACACTCACGCACACACAGATACACGAAGTGGCAATGTTTTTTCTGTCTACCATTTGTGTTGCGGCTCTTTGAGACCATAGTAAAACTGCAAATGGCTTCAGCTCGTTTCACTGGGCAATTGATACAACCATCGGCAGCAATTTCTGAATACAAAAAAATGCAAAGTCAATTTCAAGTTGAATATTGGGTTCAATTAGTAAAAGTGCTAGTCATACTCACGTACACACACACACACACACACACACTCCCGCAAGAACTCAATGTGGCATATAATTGAAGCAAGCTGCAACATCAAATGCAAAAGCCGAAGCGCAATTAAGCCGTTCAAAGGATTTATCGATTGTTCTTTTGCCAATCTGGCAATTCCATTTAATTAAATCTCTACAGTGTCTGCTAATGATGTGCCCTGAGTTTGCGGTCTCGCTCCCCCTCCACCCGCCCCCCTCTAAGGAGGTAGTTGAGGTAACTAATTAATGTAGCGACAATTGAATGCAACTTGAATCCAAGTTAAAAGCTCGTTTATTTAATCAACTCCAGACAGCTGCACTGCGAAGACTAATCAAATTCATTTATACTGTAGATCTTTTGTCGTTTTTTTTTTTTATAGCCGCCAGGCACCGGATGTAATGTCAGCCGGAAGTCGTGTACAAAGATGGCGCCGCCGCCATTGCTCAATGCTACTGTTAACAAGCATCGACATGAGCTATAGGTGCCTTCCTGTGCACTAAGAAATAACAACACAAGAATCATGAATTTTGATTTTACAATTATTATTTACACATATTAAATAATCGACAAATGTTTTCAACAGATTTATATGCGGCACGTTTTTTTATAACTGTTTTGCTTCAAGCTTTGGCTTACAACCACAAAATGAATTTAAGATTGTTTATTCAAAAATAAACTGATTCCATTTACTTCTCTTTTTCTCGTGACAGACATGAAGGATATGTTTAAGATTTTAGTTTCTTTTTTTCCAAGTGTGTGTGTGTGTTTCTGTTTGTGTAAAAGGTCTTCTGTCCTGCGTGTTATATTAAAGCAAATTATGGCTTTTATTATTGCAGCCTTCGCAGCTAACGAAAATATCCCAAAGCAACTGCAGAACGTATATTCCTCTCTAGATGTTGTTGTTGTTGTTGTTGCTCTTATTTGTTGTTGTTTGCTTAACGTTGATTTTGGTTGGGTTGTTAGCTGGTTGCTTTATCTGTGCTTCAGTTTTGGGCTTCACCTTGCACATACTAGGCAAACTCATTACGAAAAATGAGCGTCCTGCGGCGTTCAAACAAAGCAAGGTTCTCCACCTGAGGGCATACAACACCAGACCACACACCCACCACATACTCCACCTTCCACTACAGTATGCCCTACTGCCCTCTTGTCATGTTAATGTATACAATGTATGTATGTATGCAGTGGCTTGTTTATGCCGAAATTTGTACACACTTACACTTGCCAACCAACCACCCGAATATCGATTTTGTTTGATGTTTAGGCCAGACCAAAAACGATGCCAGGACACGCCAACAGCCACCCTAAGGCGCAACAGCCGCATCATCATCATCATCATCATTATCCTTGTCCCACTGCGAGGCTTCCGTTAACGTTTACTTGCCGCTTCATCTTACGCTATCGCGCATTTTAAATATTAACAGCGTGTAAAATGCCAAATACAATATAAGTACCCGTATATACATTGTATTCACAGGGTGTCCTTCAATGACATTATTTAATTGACTAAATGGTTCTATCGTCTTAACCAGCTACCGTGGAATGTCATTATGAGGACTCCTATCAAATAAAATACTAATTCTAGACAAATTTCCGAAAGAAATTTATGAAGTAAACTAATTTGAATAACATGGAATAGTAATTTGTATTCTTGATATCTAATAAACTACTCACTCTAGAGGAATTTCCGTAAAGATATTTATGGATGCACATCAAAGAGCGATATATTTTCTTAATATCAGTTAGGCTAAATGGAAACTCAAGTGTTCGTTGCAATGTAAGATTAAGTACTAAACTAGTCAGAAAATATTGCATGATAGCAGGAAAGTTTTTGCTGCAAATTCAACAGCTCTAAATTCCTCTCTTAAATCCCAATAAAAAAGGAACATTGCATTTCATGTTTATTTGCGTTCTTTGCTGCAAGAAACAACAACAGCAACAACAACAAAAACCAGCCTTAATCCAAAGCTATCCTAAGCTGATTACACAATTGAACAGCACCCTGTTTGTGTTGTTGCCAGCTTGAAAACTTTTAGCTGGAAGGTGCGCAGATTTCTTCTTTTTTTTCTTCTTTTTGCTACCGCTTTTTATGAGCTGTTTTGGCTCGATTTTTATGCGAAAACAATTACACTTGAGCTGCTGCGAAATGATTTATACAAATGTGTTCTCTAACTGTTATGAGTGCTGCAGGCTAACTATGTATGCTCTACGTATATATTTACCTACTTAGTGTGTGGGTGCTTTATTTGTAGTAGTTTTGCTATTTCCCAGTTAATTAGCTGACGTAGATTTTACCCGCTTTTTACTCATGGGAGTTCATTAGGCAAAAGGCGACAGCAGAAACAGCGCAAATTCTTCGAATTGCGTTTAAAAATATCCTGCATACACACACAGAGGCAACCTACAAGCCCACACACACACATACACACACACACACTCAACATGCGCACATTCATTCATGCTTAGCTTTTATGTCAGCGATGCTTTCATTTTCCTTTATTTCAAAGGGCAATTGCATTGTGCCATTTTAAATCGGCTTATGGCTGCAGCATGCAAGGGCCTGTGTTGCAAGGACAATAGAAAGTGTACTCAGCCAGGGTCTTAGCTGAAAGGGTGCTGGCATTCTTAGAACTTGTTGTACAGGAACAGACAAACAGACGGACAGACGGACAGAGGGTTATTGCTATAAGATCAAGAATTTAATTACCTACTTTCATCTATATATTCCCAACTTGATTATATCCATTTAACGCCTTTCATTAAGCAAAGTGTAAGAACACCATCGTTGGAATTTTGTTATTAGAAATTTTGCAATAAGAAGCAGAGCACTCTCACACACACACACACAGTCGGATTTATTCTCGTACAAAACCTAATCAAATTAAAATTCAAAATAATACACTCACCAGCAGCAACAGCAGCATAATTTAACCCCTTCTTTGGATTCACTTTGCAATCGACGCAGCAACAACAAATCGTTTTCTATTCGCAAAGCGCCCCAAGCAACTACACATTAATTTAATTTCAGTTTCGCTTCGAGAACCCACTTTACATTAAATTAGCACAATTTAAATATTAAAATCAAAATTTAATTGCAAGCTTCGATAATCATTCATAATAGAGATGTATTTTGTGGATCTCTCAGAGAGTTTTTGTCTAAGATAAATAAGATTTGTATAACGTATGAAAGGAAAAGACATTGGATAGAGTATATAAGATAATAATCCAAGTATTTTTATTTTAGATATTTGAACAAACACGGCAAAGAATCGAGCTCTACTTGAGACTTGCATTTTTCTTCAGATTTTGCAGTCCATTTAAAATGGGAAAAGTTGTGTAATAGTCAGTGAAAACATAAAAGAACTTCTGTAAATCAAATTTGTTATCAATTTTGGAGTTACACATATTAAGAAGCTGTCTAGCCACTTAACCCCCCTTGGCTGAGTTGCTGGCTACGCCTTTGAGCACATCACTTGCTGCTGCACATTGGTCGCTGTGGTTGAAAGTGCTGTGCGTTTGATAAAAGCCTGTGCCATTTTTTTCTTGTCTCTGTTGCCGTTGCCTATGAAAAATATTTGCACTCAATGCCAAACACTAGACGCCCTGCTTTTTACTTCAAAAACCAAAGCACTTTCATTAGTTCAACACGCTCACGGTCAGCAGCAGCAATTTCCCAATACTCAACCTCAAAGCCTAAAACCCGGCGCAAGGCCAGCAACAGCTTCAGTGGGGCAGATTACCTTGTAGAGCCGCCCCTGCAATAGCATAATTTCCTGGGGTAAACTTTGGCGCCACCCGCACCAAGAAACTGTGCTAAAAAGGGGAAGAGCCACAGCAAAAGCTTTTGAGGAGTTGAGTTGATGTGCAAGTGTGTGGTTGGTGTGTAGGTGGTGCGTATTCCGTGGGTTGTGGCGGCATTAACCAGCCTGGCCTTGGCATAGCTAGCAAGCCACTGACAACTCGGGCGCCTTTGCTAAATTAATACAAATATTTTGCTAATATTTTTTAAGTACACAACAAATTCAGCTTTAACATGCTTGAAGATAAATGTTAACTTTGAAATGGGATTCAAATACTTGTTTAACTTTAGTTAAGAGTGCTTTAAATTTTTCCGCACTTTAAAGAAATTGATTTAAAGATTAGAACATTTTCAGCGTTGTTTCTATTTAAAACTAATTATCTCTTTATTTATAAATTATCATGTGTTGTTGTCTGTTTCATAAATGTACAATTATTTAATATATGTAATATAGTATAATAATAATAACATTTTTCTTTTCTCTGTTGCATTTTTACATTATTTTATATTCGCATCAAAATATAAAACGAAAAATGTGTCATTATTGTGGTTGTTGTTGAAATTCTTTTGTACGCTGTTCAAATTTAACTAAATGGTTGGATTGTTGGGGAAAGGTTAGGGTTAGAGTGCAAGAGACGACCTTAGCCGTAACTAGTCATAAATTGTATTTAGCTTAAGTGATAATTGCCACCACACACTCTCTATAAACTCTGTAAACCTCTCTCTTTCTCTCCTTTCCTTCTATTTAATGCTAGTATTTGTTTTGCTTTCGTGTAATAGTATGTTTTTACGGGCTGTAATACTTTCGAATCAGCTGAACTTTCTTCTTATTTATGATGCACTACAAGCTACAATTCTACAGAAGCTCTGTGTGCTGATCTCACTTGAACTTACTCGCTAAACTAGTAGTCATGTTCAAAACTGTGTACATGTTTAGATGCACATTATTTCATTTTGAAAGCTCTGCGAGCAAAAATTAACAATCAATACTAGAACATGACTAATTTTAAACATATATAAGAAACATATACTAATTATGCATTCCATGAATGTGCAAAATCGCGGCTGCCACGTGTAAAGAAAGCCATTTAAATCATGCTCTTAAACATGATGAATCAGATCAGAATTAATGCGACTTAAGTTTAACGTATTTTCTCTCGTTACATACAAGTAAGGCGTATTGTGTGTGTGTTGGGCGGGGCGTGGAATCGGCTTCAATATATATAGCTATATAATATATTCACATACAACATAAACGATTGTGTGTGATTTATAAGTAATAATATATAGTAAATTTTTACAAGTCAATTCAATGAAAAAATAAATAAAAAGAGCGGGACAGAAGCACGTTAAAATCGAAACTAGAACGTAAACAAAACTGAACAAACGATGCAACTGTACAGCTGCCAGTTGTCGCAGTAGCTACTCGGCAGTCTCCAGTGATAGGGGCGACTGTTGCAGCGCCAATCCGGCTGCTGGTCATTGACGTGGATGCATCGGCGGCGCATGCTCTCGATATGTCTTCAGCTTCGTCTCCATGGCCTGCAAAAGAACAACAACAACAAGTTGATCAAAAACGGATGACAGACAAGCAGAAGCAACAAATTACAAAGAAACAAACAAACAAATAAAAACATATAAGACCAGTTACAAAATGTAAATGTTATTTATTAACGTAAGCATATTAAATAAATGCAAGCGCCAATTAAACAGTAGCCACTAGACAAAAAGCAAATTACAAAAATCGTTATTAGCACTTTTTTTATGGAGGCGTCTCTGCGGCAGGCTCCGGAGAGGCCTGCGTGCTGCGCATACGTTCCGCAAAACGCCTAAATATATTTGTGCCAAATTGCAAACTGTTCTGACGCTGCGTTGCAGCCAAAACAGGAGCAGGAGCAGGATTATTGCAATCTGTCCAGCTGACATCGCTGCTGGTGGGCGTTGTCTGAGCATCGCTGCTAACGCCGCTGCCAAAGGCGCGACGAAAGAGACTAGTTTCGCTGCCGGGCGAAGACAGCGTAGCACGTTCGCAGGCGCAACGAAACTTTTGACAATCAGGACATAACAAGGTCTTGTCCCACTATAAAAACATATGAAATAAATATTGAACTAAAAACAAAACACAACAAAAACCAAAAAATAAATCAAATACAAAATAGAGATATAGGTAGTTCGAGGTAAAGATATAATGTATGCGTTCCATATACCATGCTTGGAGAGTATTAATCAAGGGGAACTTACGTTCAGTTTTCTTAACATGTCGGCCACAATGTTGAGCGCCGTGGTGCGGGAGCTGGCATTCATAGCATTGCCATTGATAAGGTTCTCGGGATCTGCAAAAAGGGAGCAAACACAAGAAACACAGCATTGGTTAGTTTATAGGCCTAATTAACAATTGGTTAACAATGACAAATGGCAATTGGTTACAGCGACAAACGAACACAAACATACACAGGCACTGCCTACGAGAAATGTTTGCAAGTCATGAAAATTTAGCTTACATTTAATAATATTGTGCATATAAAAATACAGAAATGTAAAAAAAAAAAACAAAACAAAAAAAATATGCTTAAATATATACAATATGGAATTTCTTTTGGATGTTGTGATGATGATTGATTAAAAACTAGTTGGTTGGCTTGGTATGGCGAGATGATTTGGATAGCTTGAGGATGCGTTTTGTTTGCTTCAATGAACTGATTATCTTACTTTTAAGCGAATGTTGCTGTTGATTATATTCGTTTCTATTAGCTAAACTGCCGTTTAGCGAACTAACGCTAACGCTGCTGGCTTTTGTTGCGGTGGCATTGTCATGTTGCATCAGTATATCACCATTGCCCAGAATTCCATTGGGCAGAGATGCTGACGAATTCATCGAGCTGTTGCCGGTGTTTGCAGTATTTGTTGCTACTCCTGTTGTTGTTGTTGTGCCATTCGCTGGCGTATAGCGCGCCTTTACATTCAGCTCCTGCTTGAGATCTACAAGCAGAATTCACAGTCAAACAAAGTTTGAATTTAAGCTCATATCACAAAACGCACCGCGGGTCTCGTCCATTAGCCGCTGCAGCTTCTCTTGCAGCATCTCCTTCTCGTCCACCTCCATCTCAAGGAGCGCATTCTTTTCATAGGCTTTGTCCAACATCTTCTCAAAGTCTACTATGCTCTCGTTGAGTATTCGATGTGCACGCTCCAGATCATCGTTTTTCTGCTCCAATTGTCGCAGATATTCCTTCATCGAATCGCGCTCTTTTTTCACCGTCTCATACTGTTTATCCAGCATTGACATTTCAATGCCATGTGAGTCCACCTTGAGCTGCATGGAGTATTTATGAGGTAAATTATGTTTTTACTTTTTATATTTCTATGTCTTACCTTAAGCGAATCGTTCTCTTTCTCTAACATATTAAGCTTGGCTCTGAGATCTTTAATTATACTCTGTTTTTGCTCCAGAGTGGCGTCCATTTCGGCCTCCATTTCTCGCGACTGTTCAACGTATTCGTCGTACTCCTGTTTCACATCTGTCCATCTGCAAAAGCACAGCAAACATATTGATATAAGTTAAAGGAGTTATCCAAGAGCTTTTCTTCACTTACTCTTTGTGGTACTGTTTGGAGCGCTCTTTCCAATATCTGCACTCGTCCTCGACACTGTTAAACATCGGTGGAGCCTCCATTATTTCCTTCTTTTTTGTGTGTTTTTGTGTATCGGTGGTCAAAATAAACTAAACTGGGCTCGAAATATTCGTTCGTTCGTTTTTTTTTTTTATAGCTAAACAAATTCGTTTAATTGGCCTGTTTTGTGGCACTTAACTACCAATTTTCTACTGTTTAAAAATGAAGCCAAAACACAGTTGTTGGTAGTCCGTGGATCTGAAAGCGTTTAAAGTGAAAATGTGAAAAATCAATTAGAAACAGGTGTTCTCATCAGCAGCTGTTGTTGTTGTTTCTGTTGTGGTTTGTTTTTTTGACTATGCCAGCTAAATAAACATTTGTATTTGTGACGTCGACGCCACTTTGGCTCTGCGTTTCCCGTACCTAAGCCAACAACAACAACAACACTGTCAAAGATACGACGAAGTTTCCAATACAACAACGCGCAGCAGCAGCACAAAATGAAATCATCGCACAATTTTCACACGACTTTTTTACCATAGTGCAAGATTAAATCGACATTACAACAAATTGAATGCTATTTAGCATGCATTACTCACACTTTACAAATAATTTGACTACGTTTGCTTTGGTTTATTTACATAAAAACCGCATATAAATAAGTTATGCTTGTAAAAATTTACCACTACTCCGAAATGCACAAGCCAACCTGTAGCCCTGGGACCAGTGTTGTACAGTGCACGTGGTAGTCAACCCTGCGCAAATGCAGTCGATGATTTTCTTGCAGTTGAATTTAAATGCAATTTTTGTTTTGCTTTAATATATATTTATATTCTATGACAATTCTACATTGTTTTGTAACGATTTAGTTTTCGACGAGTCTTACGTCTGCGTATCGTCCTCTTCACGTGAAAATCAGATTTTTCCAACGAGCGACCAGGAAATACGATTGATCTTTTTGCTGTGTTATCACTGCTGCTTTCATTTGATATATGATATTCGGCATCCACGTCTATATCGGAACTATCGTCAATGATTTGCGGTGCGTTTAAAGTCATATCTCGCATCGATATTTGATTGTTTGAAACTGGTTGCGTTTCACCGTCGCCAACTATCCGCAAAGGCAATGGATTAAATGAAAAGCTTTGAGTAAATTGTCGTTGGCGGGTTTTGCGTCGTAAGCTGTGATTAATCCTTTGTGTCTCTGTTTCACTTGAGCTACTGTTATGGCCGTCATTGACTTTTGCAGTACTATTTTCTAGATAGCTTATTAATGATTCTTTGGAATTATTTTGCGACATTTTAATTACGGGTCACTCCATAAAGAAAACAACAAAGAGTAAACATGTAAGTCAGCTGGCCGACCATGACAACTCTGTGCGTTAGGGTCACACTGGCAATTGCAGGGCTGCACAATGCAGACTGATAAGTGTGACCACAGTAATCATCAGTGCAAGTGTGGCCAACTCGCTTAACTCTGCGTCGACGGCAGCAGAAGTGCACTTTCAACGAAATAAGGTAAGATTCAAGCACAAAATAGAGATACAAACATTAAACAATTAGCACCATCGTATATATAAACTAAGTTAGTAATTAACAACGATTCTGTGCGCTGGACCAAAAAGAACGACCCGGCTGAAACGGCCAGAAAATTGATTATTGCGGAGCATGCCGAAAAGGGAGGATTTAGCAGAAGAGTGGAAACGGAAAACAGAAAAGAAAAAAAAAACAAAGTAGGAAAAAAATCACAAGCCTATGCACCAACAAACAAAGAAGTCGTGCCTAAAAATATGCCTATAGTGTATACTACTAAAACCTGTGTGTGACTTCTTTTTTACATGGTTTTTTTTTTCTATTCGTTTATTTGCAGTTGAAGCATTTGCGTTGCGGTGTGTAGAAAACGAATAAGAAGAAGCAGCAGCAGCAACAACAATTGCAATTTGGGTGCAATACTAACGGGACTTGTGCTTGGTGTAAAACAAAAAGTGAAGAAGAAAAGTACCACGCCGATATGGCTGATCCCGAGAAACAAAGCTTGATCAACAAAGACGAGCCCACCTCGGCCTCTTACCCATCCTTTCCAAATGAGGGCACCGAAAATCCAGGCAGCAGCGTTGCTGCCAATAACGACGACGGTACGTATATGGTCACCCTAATCTATGGATTTTACTAAGTGCATTCACACCAAACACCCATCCGTCTGACTGCCCTCATGCGTGCGGATCTATGCGGGCAGAGATTGTTGTCTCCAGTGTTGGAAACCCAACAAGTGTTCGCTCTACTTTGCAGCTGCTGCTGCCGCTGCTGCGATTCGCAGTCGAAGGTCTGCCTCTAAACATACTTTGTGCTAACTGACTCACTCATGATAAAAAAAATACTCTGCATGGGAGTTGCTGTGGGTGTAGGTGTGTGGGTGTTGTTCAGGGTGCAAGCGCGGAGGGGTTGAGGAGTGTTATTATAAACCACCCGTTTGCTCGAATTTGTAGAAAGTTCGTAACTTGATGCCAATTCGCATTGGAATACGCAGCGTTTAGCTATTGTTGCGTAGATTATTGTAACTATAAAATAAGCTTTGTTACAGCTGCTTAGATCCCTGGGAAATTGTTGATTCTTGTCTTTGGCAATTTTGGAAAATTACTTTAAAAAATTAACATACTTTATTTACTTATGAAAATATCTTTTTTAAATTAGCAACTTATTTTTTATTGGCTTCTGTTTATTTGACACTTTTAAACGAGATCCTTTTGAAAATGGGTCTAAAGACAAATTAAATTAAATACATAATTGATAGCAATCATATTTTAATATTCAGAAGCTACTCTAGTTTGTTTTATTAAACAATTTCTTCAAACAGCTCTTGTCGAGAGCATACAACCATCGATAAGCGCCCCGCTCTCCTATTGTTTTGTTGACGCTTTTATATCAGTGTCAGTACCAATTCTAGCGGCGTCGTTCAGCTGTTTAATCAGCAGGCGAAGAGAGGCATTTTTTATGAGTCATCCTATGCCTGTGTTCCATTATCGTCACTCACACACTGTTGCAGAGTTTACACACCCCCTCTCTCCAGTGCCACCGATTACTGCACTGTATCTCGCAGCACTTTTATGTTGCCCTGAACCTGATCACAGTCTTTTAATGTCATAGTCCATGCCCAAGGCTGAGAGCTATTTATAGCCTTGCCATTAATGTATTCTTTCCCCTAAGATCTCTTAGTATTCTACTTGTTTGAAACCATGCAGAGATGTCTAAGTGAGGGTTTGTCTTCGTACGCCTAAGCATTGATTGACCCACTTGGTTTTATCTCCCATTCTCCACCCATTTTGTAATAATCAATCTCTTGTATGCCACGCTCTTTTATCGGTGGCACTGTCAGTGGCAGCCACTTTTTTAGTGCAACAGCAGTTGCAACTGAAGCAACATGTATTTGTTTTACACAAAAAATACACCAACTAATCGATCATGCGCATCTTTGCTCCATCCAGGCAGCACGGCACAATCGGTGCCTTTCATTGGACCCGATGAGCTACCGCCGCCGTATCAGAGCAGTGGCACTGGCGGCGTCCCCATGGTCACCTGTCGCGTCTGTCAAAACATGATTGACATAACCGCGAAGAGAGAGCAACACGTGGTCAAGTGCACCCACTGCAATGAGGCAACTGTAAGTATTGCTCGAAATATATATATATTCTTATCCATATTCATAATACATGTTTTGCAGCCCATAAGGAATGCACCACCCGGCAAGAAGTATGTGCGCTGTCCTTGCAATTGTCTCTTAATCTGTAAGAGCTCATCGCAGCGCATAGCTTGTCCACGTCCCAATTGCAAGCGTATTATCAATTTGGCTCCAAGTCCAGTGACACCGCCCGTGCCAACTATGCCGGGAATGTGCCGCGTCACCTGTGGCCACTGCTCCGACACGTTTTTGGTAAGGCTCCCAAACGGTTAATGCTACAAATTGAGAGGGAATAGGGAATATAAAGTAACATTACATATTTAGAGTCTCTTAAATATAGTTTTTCTTATACGTAACATTAAATTATTTTTATAAATATTTGTTTCTTGTACGCCACACAGTTTAATACCTATAACAACGCACTGGCTCGCTGTCCACACTGCAGGAAAGTGTCTTCGGTGGGTTCCCGTTTCGCCAATAGTCGTGGCGTTCTGTTTGCCATTGTTGCATTGCTCTTCCTCATTGGCAGCATTGCCCTCACCGTGGGCACGTACTCATATGCAAATGTGAGTAGCCTTAAATTGTACATCTATGTCACGTTTATATATATATGTATTTTCTTTATCAACAGGATCATGGCGGCATGTATTTCGTGTACGTTGTAATGTTCTTTATTGCGATGCTCACGTCGGCCCGTTCCGTTTATTATTTCAGGCTTAAAGTAAGCGCGATCGATGGACCCATGTAAAATTCGCGGCGCGTCGGTTAATATGAAAGTGCATTGTTTTATTTTTATAAATAAATATATATATACTTATATATATATACATATATATATATATATAAATATATGTATAAATATATATATATTTTGCATATATATCATTCCTTTTGATATTAAACCCGTTTATCAGAAAACAAAAAGCAAACAGCAAATAGAACACAGCAAATATATAAGGGCAAACATTTCTCAACATTTTCATATGCAGGGCCGCCAGCAGATTCTTCTCAAAAAATTAAATATAAAAGAAACATCAGCAAAAGCAACAAAAGTAGTTTTGTCGCGCATCTTACAAGAGTTATTCGTGTTGAATTAATATTAAACTTAGCTAAATCGTCAGCAAGTAACTCTCCCATTTAAAGTGATTTTTAAAAAAGCATAATTAAGACTAAAATCTAATTACAAATTTAACAAAAACCACAAATGCAAATAAAAACGAGCAAAAACAACAACTACGTATTCTGAAGAAAGAAAAACCAATATTTCGTAATACCAAAACAGCAAAAAAATATAGTAAAAAGCAGAGAAGGCAAATGCTTAAAACGATTACATTAAATGTGCTAATTAAAAAAACAGTAATGGAAACTAAAAACTGTACGCAGTTTATTAGGCAACGTTGACTGGCAGACATACAAACGAAACGACAGAGCGATTGACCTAATTGCACCCACATCTTATAGCATCTATTAAAGCAAGTGTTTTTTTACAAATACCTAAGCGCCATTTTTCATATATATACATATATTATACATGATATACGTTTTTATACGTTTGTGTTTTTTTTTTTGGATTGTATTAATATGTTTTCCGTTCGTGCTTGTTCCATATTTTTCGATATTTATTCTCGAGAGAGTATGCGCTTAAAATTGATTGTGTTTAGTTTCGCTTCTTCAAAAATGTACTAAGAATTTACTTACGCCAAACAAAGCTGAAAAATTATATGTTTTATAAATTTTCGGGGCGTTAGATATAATCGAAAAAAGCGTATAGCTAAATAGTGCTAATAAAGGTACATAATTGCATATATATACACACACACATACAATTTAACTAAATACGATGTCTTGAAGAACAAAACAAAGCAAATATAATAAAATAAATAAATCTATTAGAGAAAGGAAACCAAACGCTCATGCAAACAACAACAAAATAGACAGCAAAATGCGTTAAAAATAACGTCTAAATTATATTAAAAAGGAAAGGTTTACTTTTGAAATATATAAATATATACAACATTTATATTTAGTTATATATTTAGCATACACATACACTGTAAATAAAATGAAATAAAAAGATAACGAAAAATCCTGTTTTCTTGCATGAAGGAAATTTAAATGTTAAAAAAGGGATATTGTTTTAGTGTTGGTGAATTTGTATAATTTCACCACGCCGTTAACTGGCAATTGGCAGCACTTTTACTGGTAAAACTAGCACTTGTCACGTGTCAATTGTTTTCGCAGTCATCAGCGAATTATGAAAATAACGTATAGTCCTTTTCCCGCTGGCACCCAATTGCATGTGGAGACCTGCTTTGGGGATCACATAACTGGCGATGTGGTCACCTATGAGCATAGCGTGAAAATGTTAATCCTCAACTGCTATGCCAAAGATAACAATGGCAAAAAGTGCTGCAATAGGACAATAGTCAACTTGAACTATTGCAAGAACTTGCAAATTATCAAGGAGGCCAAAATGCCAGATAGCTGCAACAATACACCAGATAGCTGCAACAATCCACCAGTGCCGCTTAACTGCAAGCTCGTAAGCTGCAGATTACTTATATTTTTTTTATATTATTGACATATTTTTGCTTGCAGCTGAATGCTCGCTTGCAGCAGTCTGTGGTGCAACGTGAGAGTTTGTTGCGCAGCCGCAGCAAGCATGCAACGCCGCGTGCCCATCAATTGCTGCATATGCTCTCCAAGCATTTTGGCCAGCACGAGCTCAGCTGGCAGCTGGACAATATAATGGTGCTGCAACAGATTACTATCGCGCCGCCATATCGCAACTGTGACATCAGTAGCAAACAGAAAATGCCCAAATTGCTGGACTTTGTGCATCGTGTCGTTGAGCGTTTCAATGCACAAAACAAACAAGGAGGAGGAAGAGGAGGTGCAGGCGGAGGAGGAGGCGAGCAGGCAAAGTAAACACAGCACGAACCTCTGATATAAACAAAAATAATAATATTCTGTTGCCTGGCAAACATCTCTCAATACAAACAAAACAAAGAAAACTCACAAATCTGCCCATATGCTTTTTATTTAGTGTCTAAAATTTATACATAGTTTAAGTTGTGATCTGATCTGATTTGCACACACCATGGCCGATGACGAAGATAAGCCCAAGAAGCACACACTTGACACACTTTTTCAGGTTTACTGCAATTACAAGGTAAACCCACAAAGCATATTTGGGTTCTTGCAAATGTTTATAACTTTTATTTAGCTTGCTGCAGCTGAGCTGGAGACGGAAGAGTTCCACAGCATATTGCTATCACAGCTAGACAGTTGGCTGACGCAGGCCAGACTAATGCCAGCGCCCATAACTCGCATTCAAACCGGATTAATCTATATGCGATATAAGTAAATAATCTCATCAGCAGCATCATTAAGTATTTTAGATCACATGACGCATCTTGGTTTTTCTTCGCAGAAAATGGCGTCTGGAGTATGAAGATTTTCTGGAGGTGCTGCAAATATTGTGCAGTGAATCAGATCTCAATTATGATCAGTTGAAAGAAACACTAATTGCCGCCGGGCCACCCTTGGGTGCCACCGAAGTAGTTGTTGTCAAATAATTGTAGTCACAACAATTGTTCAGTTTTAATTATATGAAAATATATATAAACAGCATAATACATAGTAAGTTTTAGTTGATAACAATTGCAATATTAATTCGATACACTTTGAAAGCAACCCTTTAAAAACCAGCTAATGAGTATTTAAGTAGAACTATTTTATAAATACATATGTATTCTTTCTCAATCGATTCGGGGAGCTTTAAAAGTGATTTGTTTATATAGAAATTTTATGTCGAATAATAGATTCGTTTGTTCGATTAGTAACTGAACAAATATTTAATAAATTTTGTAGCTAAGAGATTGCAAAAATATTTATATATAGTAAAAAAATGTACATCAAATGTATTGTATATGTATGGGGTATATGTTTTTACAGACTGCTGGAGAGTTTGCTAAATAATAATGCACATTTATGATGTTTGTACTTGGCAACCTTTATGGCTATTGTCAAAAGCATAGACTGTATTTGTATATGTGTGGGCTCAGAGCGATTTCGTCATTAGTCACAAAAGAGAGAGCTACGAGCACGATATATTTAAATACTATATACCAGATACAGTGGTCGCTCGCTAAGTATAACAATTATAATTTAAGAAATCTGTTTTTAAAATCCTTTTGCATGTAGATATTGTTCTACACAAGTCAGTTATAATATTAACAATTAAAAATATTATTTTTAAAAGTGAGTGTTTCATAATTTAGCATTGTTTAATCTGACACCCTAGCGAGCGACTACTGTAACAGTAATATGTTTATAATGCCTGTGTACACAGCCGGCAATTTGTTTTGTTGATTTTCAGGTTATTATTTACTTTATTTCTTTTGGCTTTTTTCATATCGGTTATCGTCGAGCGTCGCCGAGTGAAGCGCTTCAAGGTCAATATAATTAATGTACACCGTATTCATTTGTATTTCCGCTTTACTCGCAGTTGCACTTTAGTCGTATTTGTTATTTTATAATCATTCTTGACTGGGTGACTGCATTTATGATTGCAGTCGTGCATCAACTGATTAGCATCAGTGCATATAAAGATTGTACATAAGTAAACGTGGCACTTAGGATTAGTTTAAATTGTATGTGGATTAGTAATTGCTCTCCCTCCCTCTTTCTCCCTATATATCTCTCTCGATCTATCTCTCACTCTCTGTCTTCTTAGGAGTAAATGGTTCGCTCCAGCCAATCATCCAGATTGAAGAATGCCGTATCGGAATTATCAGTGTCCCGTTCGCGGAACGTCTCAATAAAGGTCTTCACCTTAATGGCGCACATCAGGAAATCATCGAAGGGCACTTTGCCCTCCCGGGAGCCATAACGATGCGCCAATGCATTCAGCAGACGATTGTTCAAATGATAACCCGCTGAATTGAGAGCGCCACGCAAATGGAAGCCATCTATGCTGCCGGAACGTCTGACATCATACAATTTAAAGACCGCCCGCCATTTGGCAATGTCTGTGAGTAGCGCTTCGAACTCATCAAAGCCTAGACGACCCGAGCGATCCTTGTCCAGCATGGCAACCATCGAGCGTACCGCATCCTTCGAGAAGCCCTCGCCACCGACCATCACATCGCGCATGGAATGATCCAAAATGCGCTTCAGTTCTGACCAATCCACCTCCTCATCGTCGCCAGCAACGCTGTCGAAGAGACGCTTGAGTGCGATGCGCTGTGGATCATCCTCCTCCTTGGGCGTCGGCGGTGGCAGAGCGGGTGCAATGCGATCATCTGTCTCGCCGAAACCGACCTCATCGTCATTCTCCTCCATGTTGTTCATCGTTTCGGAGAAGACGCGTATAATGAATTCGCCCTCCTCGTTGGGATCAAAGGTCGAGGGCACAATCAAATAATGACCTGGCGGCAGCTTGAAACGGGCACAAACCTCACGAGTGTTGATGAAATGAGGGGAACGTGCCACCGAGGCACGATACTTGAAGAAGTGGAGTCCCTGTGGTTTCACCTCCATATCGCGATCCGTCAGATGATAGATGGCAAAGCCAATGGTCAGGCAATCGATGCCCACATTTCGCTTGCTGCGACGGTTCTTTTGCATGAGAGCGACAATAACGGTGCACTTGCCATCGTCATCCTCCTCGTCGGGATCCTCCAGAGTGATGACGTACTGCGGATTGTGCCAGAAGGTCTCCAGGAAGTTGCGACAACCGCCAGCTGTGACGCCCGAAGTCCACTCGCCCTCGAACATGGACATCTCCCATTTGCGACGCGAACTCTGTTTCTGTTGATCTGTCAGCGAATCTGGGTTTAGATTGCAAATCTCGACGCGATCGAAATTATTGAGAAAGTCCTGGAAGGACATCCAGAATTCACCATCACGATCGAAATTCAAACCAATCTCCTCCTTCTGGTCATCGTCTATGAAACGCCATTCAGGCGAACTATCACTCCAAGGTCCACTCCACTCGGCATCGTTGCCCCAAGGATTACGCATACGTATCATGGGAATTTTGCCCGTACGATTTCTGGTCGAGATGTCCAACAGACACACTTTCGTTATGGAGTAAGCATGTCCACGAATCAATCCTTGAGGTGTCTCCGCCTCGAGCACATGTGGATCCGGCTCCAGGGAGCAACCCATCATTGAGCCACGCTCCGCGGCCTTGGTCATAATGCTAAATAGAGTTGGAGGCGCCTCTTTGATGTCATACCACTCGGTGACGCCGCCAGTAAAGTCCTCCATGGCCTCACAAGTAGTGCCACCTAGAAAAGAACAGATATTTTTAGAATGTGTATTCAAATGGAATAAAAGATTTAAAGATAGCAATTGAATATATCTCTTTAGTCAAACCATTTTAATCTTTAAGCTTACCTTTGAGTGCTTCATAGGAGCCATGTAGCTTGGCATATGCTTTCTCCAATAGAGCACTCCAGAACTCACTCTTCTCGGTGGAGTGCATGTAGATCAGCTCGCCATTTACTGTGGGCAAGCGATCATCGATGACGACCTCGACCCATTTGCCATATTGCCAGAACTTGAAATGGAAGATACCCGCATAGTTCTCCTGGAAGTCCTGATCCGGTGGTATAACACGGAAGAATAATTTCGAGTCCTGGGTAAGATTTGCAGCCGCAGCAAGCAGCCAACAATCGCCCAGTTCTCCTTGCTGCACATCAAAACGCGAATAGCCCTCGACAAAGAACTGAGGATCATCAACAATATCTCCCGGACGCAGCCACTGAATATAGCGATCCGGACGACGCGAGTACATCAGCGATGAATCACTGGCCGGAAAATCGGGATCCTCAAACATGGTACCATTTGCCACACACGATTCACGGAGCGTGGCAAAATCATCGCCTTGCTTGCTGCTCTGGCGGGTGGACTTCGCCGTCGCCTTGCGTCCCATCCAGAACATGTTCTGATTCTCGGGCACTTTGACGCTGGTGAACTGTAGCTCCTGGATGCCCACCGATGGCTCCTCCTCGCGGCTGGGTGCACTCGGTTCCGGTGCCGATGGCGTTGGCATCGACGGATAAATCGATTGTGGTGCTGGCGATGTTGGCAACGGTGCATACGGCATTGGCATCCCCGGCATTCCCATACCGCCACCCGAGGGATAGGGCAGCGCCGGATATGGCGTTGCACTGGGATAAGGCATTGCACTGGGATAAGGCGCTGCTGCACTGGGATAGGGTGAGGCACCCGGATAGGGCATTGCCCTGGGATAGGGCGACGCTGCACCTGGGTATGGAGCTGCACTAGGTATGGGCGCCAGCGGTGTCGATGGATACGGCAATGGCATCGATGGCATTTGCGGATACAAACCCGTACCAGAGCCAGAGCCAGGATATGGCGTTGCCGATGGCTGTGGCATGCCCATGCTGGATCCGGGATATTCAGCATTTTGGGCACCAACCGTTTGCTTCATCACATACGGCATGCCTCCCATCGACTCCGACGTGGGGTAGGGCAGCGAGGGGTATAGCCCCGATTTGGGTGCGCTCTGCGCATTATCATTGTCGCTGACTTCATTCTTGCTGTAGCCCAGCGCTGCCAGATTGACAAGGCCAATGCCGCTCGCATGATAATTTTTTGGATAATTATCGATGCCGTACATATTTTTTTTTGGTTGTCTTTGTTTGTTTTTTTTTTTTTGTCCACTTCTTAAACTAATCAACTATTTGCAACAATTTCAATTATCGATTTATGTTGCGAAATGACAACAACTAACACGATGCTAGCAGCCGTTGTATGAGAACTGCTGACTCGTCTCGGGAAAATCTACGTATTAAATGGAAGAAATATCCAAATTTAACTTTCTTATGAATAGATGATTCACATCTTAACACTTGTGTGCCCATAAGTTTCTGCGCTGTAGATTGTGCGTATTTCTCCAGTACTCAGAAGTTCAAGTGTTGCATGTCCATATTATCCTGTTACCTAAAAACCTAAATTAATTCAACTAAACTGTGCAATTTTAGTGATGATTCGAAATTAAGCCTTTTATTTATTACTTTTGTACGTGCCCGAAAATGACACGCGCTGCATTAGAAGTGTTAAAGCTGGTATTCAGGGCTGCATTGTGCGATATAGAGTTGCCACTGTGCAGTGTTTTTTTTTAGTCAGGGTGGTATCGCGAGGAAGAAGAAGACAAAATGTGAAGAAAAATAAACAATGCAATAATACTATTTACGAATTTTGTGGAACGAGTGTGCATTATTAACAGCAAAAAGCAATGGATACACAACCTGAGGTGCCCGAGGCACCGCTGCGACCATTCAAATTATAAGTTTTTGCCAATTGTTGACTTGATGCATTTAATTAACGTTTTCTGTTTCGTTTAGCACGGCGCATCAGGTTGTGAGCCTCACCGGCATCAGTTTCGAACGTCGCAGCATTATTGTAATATATATATTCAATATAATATTATCTGTTTCTCTGTTTAATTTCTGAATATTTGCAGGGCATGGTGGAGCTGACGATAGTGCCAAACAACGAGAGCTTACGTCTGATACGACTCAATGCCAAACAGTTGCGCATTTACAGCGTGGTCCTCAACGATGTTTGCCAAGCGGAATTCGTCTACTTTGATCCCTTCCAGGACATATGCCACAAGGAGCCCAAGAGGTTAGTTAACTAACGTAACTAGTAATATTTATGTGTGTATAAACATTTGCATTTGCAGTCGCTCGTTGGTCGTCTACTCCAAGCATCATTTGACTGCTGCACAAATCACCGATCCCGATGTGAATAATGGAGAACTGCTCATTCAAGTGCCACCGGAGGGTTATTCGTTGATACAAGAGGGTCGCGGTCTGCGCATCCGTATTGAATTCTCCGCGGAAAATCCGAAGAGTGGAATGCATTTTGTAATGCCGCCGACATCATCGGAAGATGACACTGCTCAACTGAATTGTGCACACATGTACACCAATTGCTATGAGAACTCGACGCGTCTTTGGTTTCCCTGCGTCGATAGCTTTGCGGATCCGTGCACCTGGCGTCTGGAATTCACTGTGGATAAAAATCTGACAGCCGTTTCGAGCGGTGAGCTTGTGGAGGTGATTATGACGCCGGATTTGCGCAAGAAAACATTTCATTATACGGTCTCCACGCCGGTATGTGCTCCAAATATTGCCCTGGCAGTGGGTCCCTTCGAAATCTACGTGGATCCACATATGCACGAAGTGACGCACTTTTGTTTGCCGGGCATGTTGCCGCTGTTGAAGAACACTGTGCGTTATCTGCACGAAGCGTTTGAATTCTTTGAGGAGACACTCTCCACACGCTATCCCTTCTCCTGCTACAAACAGGTGTTTGTAGACGAACTGGACACCGACATCAGTGCGTATGCGACCATGACGATAGCTTCGGTTAATCTGCTCCACTCCATAGCGATTATCGATCAAACCTATGTATCCAGAACATTTATGTCGCGTGCCGTGGCGGAGCAGTTCTTTGGCTGCTTCATCACCTCGCATCACTGGTCGGACACATGGCTGGCCAAAGGCATCGCCGAGTATTTATGTGGCTTGTATTCGCGCAAATGCTTTGGCAACAACGAGTATCGCGAATGGGTGCAAACGGAACTGGCGCGTGTCGTCAAATATGAGGAGCAATATGGCGGCATTATACTCGATTGCAGTCAGCCTCCGGCTCCTCTACCCGTCTCGAGCACAAATCCAGCAGCAGCAGCCAGCAAGCAGCAGGAGATTGTCCACTATTTTCCCATCAAGAGTCTGCATACGGTGTCGCCCAAATATGTGGAAGCGATGCGTCGCAAGGCGCACTTGGTCATACGCATGCTGGAGCATCGCATTGGCCAGGAGCTGCTCATCCAGGTGTTCAACAAGCAATTGGTCTTGGCAACGAATGCGGCAGATATGAAAATTGGCGCTGGATTGTGGTCTCAGTTGCTCATCTCCACGAATATTTTCATTAAGGCAATTTTCACAGTGACCGGCAAGGACATGTCCGTTTTCATGGATCAATGGGTACGCACCGGTGGACATGCAAAGTTCTCGCTTACCTCGGTGTTCAATCGTAAGCGCAACACCATCGAACTGGAGATACGACAGGATTTTGTCAATCAACGTGGTGTTAGAAAATACAATGGTCCGTTGCTGGTGCAGCTGCAGGAGTTGGATGGCACCTTCAAGCATACGCTGCAGATTGAGAATACGCTGGTCAAGGCGGACATCACATGCCACTCGAAGAGCAGGCGCAACAAGAAGAAAAAGATTCCCCTGTGCACGGGAGAAGAGGTCGACATGGATCTGTCTGCCATGGGGTATGCTTGAGATACAATTTAAACGGAGAATCATCTAATTTAAATGAAATTTATTTTCCCTTCTTAGTGACTCACCTGTGCTCTGGATACGCCTCGATCCTGAGATGATTTTGTTGCGTGATTTGATTATTGAGCAGCCGGACTTTCAGTGGCAATATCAGTTGCGACACGAGCGAGATGTCACTGCCCAGTTTCAGGCGATACAAGCGCTGCAAAAGTATCCCACGAATGCCACAAGATTAGCACTCACAGACACCATTGAGAGTGAATCTTGCTTCTACAAGGTGCGTTGCCAGGCTGCGCATAGCCTCACTAAGGTGGCCAATCAAATGGTGGCCTCGTGGAGCGGTCCTCCAGCCATGCTGAACATCTTCCGCAAATTCTTTGGCTCCTTCAGTGCGCCGCACATCATCAAACTAAATAACTTTTCCAACTTTCAACTGTACTATTTGCAAAAAGCCATTCCGGTGGCCATGGCGGGTAAGTGGTTAATTTCTTATGTGACATATTTATTTATTTAATGATTTATTTATTTGTTTTGTAGGTTTGCGCACCTCGCATGGCATCTGCCCGCCGGAGGTGATGCGATTTCTGTTCGATCTCTTCAAATACAATGAGAATTCGCGCAATCATTATACGGATGCTTATTATAGAGCTGCACTGGTGGAGGCGTTGGGAGAGACACTCACACCAGTTGTCTCTGTGGCAATGCATGGCACTCAAATCACGACGGACAGCCTCTCCACAGATGCCAAGTGAGTGGCAGATAGAAAACTTTTCGTATGTGAATTTAACTCTCGTCCTTTGACAGATTGGTGCTGGATGAAGTGACGCGCCTGCTGAACATGGAGAAACATTTGCCCTCGTACAAGTATATGGTTTCCGTCTCCTGCCTGAAGGTCATACGCAAGCTGCAGAAGTTTGGACACCTGCCCTCTTTGCCGCACATTTACCGCAGCTATGCGGAATACGGCATCTTTCTCGATTTGCGTATTGCGGCCATGGAGTGTCTGGTGGACTTTGTGAAGGTCGATGGACGCAGCGAGGATTTGGAGCATTTGATAACGCTGCTGGAAACCGATCCAGATCCGGCGGCACGCCATGGTCTCGCTCAGCTGCTCATTGATAATCCTCCATTCACAAGGGAGTCGCGCAGCCGTTTGGATCGACCAAATCTTCTCGATCGCCTCTGGCTGAGCATAAATACGCTCTCCTGCGACACGAAGCTGCGCTGCGACATAGTGGATCTCTACTATGCGCTGTATGGCAGCAAGCGACCGAATTGCCTGCAAGCGAATGAGAATCAAAACTTCTACAATGACCTCATGAAGGACACAAGCAATTCAGGCAGTAGCTTTAAAAAGCAGAGCGACGTCAAGACCACAGAGAATGAGCCGACGGAGAGGAAACCTGCCATGGTCACAATTAAACGCACTGCAACCGAAGCCTTTGAAGTGGGTGACGAGATCATTAAGCTGGAGCGCAGTGAGGAGATCACAGTGCTCGATGAGCCGATAGAAGTGCAGGCCTACGACAGCGAGACCAAATTGAATATTCTCCCTGATGATGATGGACCCTCGGATGCCAATCAGCTGACCAAGCGTGTCAAAACGGAACTCTATGCGGAAGATGAGAATTCGTTGACGGTGCTCGATGTGGGCGAATCTACGCGCTACGATGATAGTTATGATGAGGCCAAATTCAAGGCGGATGGCAGTGTCAAGAAAAAGAAGAAGAAGGATAAGAAGAAACATAAGCACAAGCATAAGCATAAGCACAACAAGGAAAAGGACAAGGATCGCGAGCGCAAGGAGAAGGGAGATCGAAGGGATCCGCAAATCTCACGTCTGCAGACAAGGGAGGCGGCCACGCCGGAAACTCTCAGCTCAGCGGACAGCAGCAACAGCAACAGTAATACCCCGATACATGTGAACTAACCAATGGGGTGCTTAACAACAACAACAACAATTTATCAGATTAAGTAAGATTTTTGTAAGCATAATAGATTGTTCAACATATTGTAAGGTTAAAAAAGATTTCCCTAATTTACAATTTAAGATTAAAAATCGTAATAATAATATTCAATAAACAGAAATTTAATGGTTAACCAATAGATTGTTTTTCTTTGAACTATTTGTTTCTTCCATTTCCTTTTTGCATTTGGGAAGCCTGTGCACTCACCAGTGAAACAAATTCGGTTGCTGCAATGACTAAACTTCCCTTTTTGTAGGAAATGCAGGCATACTTTTAGGGGCGAAGTACATTCAAGAATTATGGGATCATTTATAAATGAACAAACTTGGCGAAATTTACTTTTGGTTCAAGAACCAATTCTAAGATAAATAATAGCTTAAATGTATTTTCGTATTTTGTTTATTTATAATTTAACGTTATTAAATTGCTGAACATGCAGAAACATTTTTACAATACTTATAACTAGACAAAGGGAGCGAGTGACATTAACTAAAGGAGCGCAACTTATGCTGATGATGCTGATGATGATGGTGAAGCCTTCGCCGGCTCTGGAGCCGTTGCCTTCGTCTCACTGCCGGCAACAGCCGTATCCTGCTCATCCCTTGGTCGACGCTGCAAATAGGTGACACTGCCTCCGCCAATGCCCGTTGCCGTCTGCTGCGCCTCGGCAGCTGTGGGCGTGGACAGGATCTTCACGGATGGCTCCGAGGGCGAGGCCAGGGAATGCAATTGATGCTGATGTGGATGCTGATGTGGATGCTGATGCTGATATTGCTGCTGATGTGCGCCCAATTGGCGCGTAGCCAGACGCATTAGATGCGCATAATCTACAGGTGGATGATTGCGATATTCGGGATGATCCTTCACATACTGCTCATAAGGCACGGGCACGGGAACTGGAACCGCCTTCACCGGGTAGCCCGCTTCGACGAGTGCCTGGAACTCGGCCTGGGTGAGCGGCTTGCCGTTCGGTGGCGGCAAATTCAACTGCTTCACCTCATCCAAGGTGCGCAACTTCGTTGTGGGCGTAACGCGCGAGGGTGTGGCTATGCCCGTTCCTTGGGAAACATAAATGCTCGATTGGGAGGGAGCGGGATGCGCTGGATAGTCGATGGGCTGCACTGTGGGCACCACATTGCGCTGCGATGCATGCTTAATGGGATCCCTTGGACTGGGATAAAAGTGGGCAGATGTCGGAGCCGGTGCAGGCGGTTGGGAACGCTCATAGTCCGCATATAGATGAGCCTTCTCATAGGATTTGGTTGGACTGGGCGTAGGCGGCTTGTACGGTTTGCTGCGATATTGTTTAGGCTTGGGTGCTGCTGTGGGTGGCGTCTCCTGGTAGTAATACTGCGAGGGCTGCGGCTGAGCAGGTGCACTCGTTGGATAAGCAACGGGACCGAGCCGCTTCGTCTCATGCTGCTGCTGCTGTGGTTGAGGATAATTGGGAGTGGGTTGCTGGAAGTTGCTGAACTTGAAGAGGGATGGGATGAAAGGCTGATTATTTGCATCCAGCAGCGAGTTGGGCGTGCTGGCCAAATATGCCTTGGGTTGACGCAGCGCCGGATGGGAGCTGGGTGCTGGTGGATGCTGTGGTGGTGGTGGTGGCAGACGTGTCACATGCTGATGCTGATGCTGATGATTGACCAATGTTGGCTCATTGTTGCTGTCCACATAGGCCAGACCGGGGTGACCCACAGAGCCGGGCTTGTTCGCAGCAAGCAGTTTCTCAATTTCCGATTCCAGCGAGGATTTGGCGAGTGGATGATTTGGTAGCGCCTTGTAGCTAATCTGTGGCTGATAGTAGGCGATCTGTGGAGGGAGGGATTGAATCAACTGCTGCTGCTGATGATGATGAGGTCGCTGTGGTGGCAGTGGCTGGGATTCATCTTCCTCTGGTTGTTGCTGCTGATGCTGCTGTTGATGTGGCAGATATTTGGGTCCACTACGCGAGGAGTAAGTGTTCGGCACCAGTTGCTGCTGGGTCACATAGCGCTCACGATAATTGCCCAAGCCCAAAGAAGGCTCCGCCTGCTGAAGCACCTTGTGCGTGGCAGCTGTGCTGTGTATGGGCAACGATTTGGGTGGCAGTGGAGCTGGAGTCTGGGATTGTTGCTGATGCTGATGTTGTTGCTGTTGGCGGAACTGCTCGTGATAGGCCCGCGCCTGTAGCTCCTCCTCGAGCAGCTTGAGGAACTGTTCCTCGGGTATGATCTGATACGGTTGCTGGGCATGTTGCTGCTGCTGCTGTTGGTGTTGATGTTGATGTTGCTGCTGCTGCTGCTGTGGACGATGTTGGTGTTGTGGTGCTGCCAGCGGCAAGGGCAGTTGATAGGGCACCTGGGCATAGGGATTACCGCGCAGACCCGGCTGTGGTTGTTGTATGGCAACCGTATAGCGTTGTTCCGCCTCCTGTTCCGTTTCCTGCTCTTGCTCGGCAACGGGTGTGGACTTCTTGAGGGGAGCACTGGTCGCGGCTGTCTTCACTTGTGCCTTGGGCTGATGACGCTGTATATCTTGCAGATAAACATAGTGTTGCAACTGGGGCGTGGGCGAAAGAGATTAAAGTGATTTGTGAATGTTTTATAAATTATAACGTTTAATTCTAGTCAAGCTGGGTGTGTTTTAAAGATCAACGTCCAATGCCAACGCCAAATGGCAACGATTAAATATATGGCAACAAATAACAACAATCACATTAAATAAGAGCAGGTTGAGGTGTGTGAAAATTGTGTGGCATCTAAAGTTTATATAACACGAAACAAATGACGTTGATGTCAGCAACAGCAACAGCAGCGGCATCAGCGCCAATAACCACAACAGCAGCAGCAAACAACCAACAGACAACAACCAACAACAACAGGCAGACGCCCTCGGCCTGGCTTCAGTTGCGGCTCTTGGCTTCAGCTGCTGTTGCAATCGATGCGCTTGTCGGTGGCAGCCGCGTTGGCAGACAAACAATTATTTATATTACACTCTGCAACAAAGTGTAGACAAATCATAAACAAACAAGAAGCAGCTTCAAATTCAATGCCTCAAATCTACAATGTTGTTGTTGGATTGTTATAATTTCTAGAAATAAATGAAATTGTTCCAAGTACATAGGATAGCTCTCCGTCTTTTCAAAAAACCGAGCTTTATGTTGATTAATATTGTATTTGAAGACACGCGATTCTCACTCAAAATTCATTTAAAAAGGGGGGCCCAAACTTGCCACAGCCTTAACATTCTCAAAACTGAGCCAAATTTCAAAAGCAATGGCTCTTTGAGCATGAGTTGACTAGTAGACAATCGCTGTATTCAAGTTTAATAAATTGCTTGTAGGGAATGGTCACAATTTTCGCACAATAGGAAAAATTACAGTTTAAAAACCCTAAATGTGCTGCACAGTGTTTCCTTCGCAATATTCACATTATTATTACAAATGAATCGTCAGCCAAGTCAAGGCGCCATCTAACTGAACATTAGCATGAGAGGAGACAAGGGGCAAATTGGGAGACATGTTGCATGCAGAAGTAGGGTGATTATAACATTATGTCAACTTTCTTCCCACGGCAACCCACAAACGCCCGCTATTGTCTTCAGTTGGCTGCTGTCTACTGTCTGCTGTCTTCCCGATGGCGGTTGTTGCACAGTGGTGCAAATTGTGTTTGATGTGGCATGTTGGTGCCATTTGTTGTTGTTGTTGTTGTTGTCGAGTCTAACGCGTCAACAACAGCAACAATCATTTTGTAATTATTCATTTGTTGTCGCTCGTGACTTACATTTGGGCCTGTAACAAATGGCATTTATTATATTCGCTAGCGCTTTTAATTTTTTGTATTGTTTTTACTTGTAGATTTTGTAATATAAACTTTGTCTTTTTTTCCTTTTATTTTTTTTTTTTGGGTAATTGCAATTGCTTTAATATCTCAAATTTGTTCCCAAAATGATGAAAATTCACAACTCAATTGCCGTTCCCAAAAATTGGTCAAGGTTTCTAAGCTGGGGGCCAACGAAAGGCGACGTTTCAATTTCAATTTGAGTTCGTTTTTGTCGTTGTTATTTTCAGAGTGTTTTGCATCCTGCATTTTGCAAAGAATCGTGTAATTCAGCTGAGTCACGATCCACAATGTAAATTTGACGAAAGTCAAGCATAAATTGACCCTTACACATTTCTCTCCCCCTACCCCCCATCCCCCCTTGAGCTCACCTCTTGACTGTGCTCCAGTAATTGTGCGGCATGTGGACGCGAATTGGCTGCTGCAAAATTGCGCAGTTGCGGCTCCTGATGCGACTCGTGCTGCTGATGCTGGTGTGGGGCAATGGGGCGTATGATAAATTGATTCGGTTTCGGTCCATATATCGTCTCCTGACCAACTTCGGGATCATCGCCACCAACTTGAGCTGACTCACTGCGGTGATTGGGATAGAGAGATGTCTCCTTGCTGCTCACCTGTCGCTTATCTTTCGTTGACTCCACTTCCACTCGGGGCAGTGTGGAGGCGGCGCTGATTTCGCTGTCGCTCTTGGGTGCAGCCTCCAGCGCCTGGACGCTAAGGTGGCCTGTATGTGGGTGGACAGCCAGAGTGGCAGAGATTTGTTGGTGAGTGTGCAAATAGAAAGGAAATTCAATAGAAATGGAAACTTGTATAAAGTGTAAAATTTTATGCAATTTGCTATTGGCATTTTATTGTATTTTTCTATATTCGGACTCTAATTTTGGGTATTTTAACGAGCAGTTAAAAGTTTCCTTGCCAATCGGGATTTTTTAAGTGCTAATTAAAATGTATTCCATTCATTTTTTGCAAGATTTCAGCTAAGTCATTTTAAATTAACGCTCTTAAACTTTAATTGCAAGTGCTTCACATTTTATGTTCTTAATTATCCACCAAATCTCCAAATTAAAAAAATAGCTGTTACTAAATCTTACACAATAAAAAGCGATTGTTAAATTTTATTTCAAATCTCAATTGTTTTCCAGAAATAAACAACATTTGAGTCGTTTCAATACTTCTTATTTTCTTCACCAAAAGTGGACTGTCGAACTAAAGTCCATTAATAACTTCAAGACACCGTGTATAATAAAAGTAAACCTCTTTTGACGGCTTAAGTTCTTAATTTATTTCCACTTCCTGTGGACATTAATGTTGTATTATTAAAAATCTCAATTTCATGATACTGACTCAATTAAGAAATATACTTTACATCTAAGCTGAATTATTGGAATACAATATTTAGCTCAGATATTTTGTGAAGTAGGAAATAAATAAAATCAAATATTTGTGTAAAAATATATTTGTGAATTTTTTGAATATCAACTTCAGCTTCAGGTCGTCTCTTCCACTACTAATGTAAATATTAAGTTTTCTATTAACTCGACTCTACAAATTATGCAAATATTTCTTATTGTTTCAAGTCAGTGAAGATCTCAATCAGACAATTGCAATACAGGGAGAAAAATAAACATTAACATAAAACACAACACTGAATTTTCAATCACGATTTTTAATTTTGTTTTCCCTGTCGATACACTCACCCAGCAAAAGTGTTAAGGCCAATATTTGAATTCTCATTGTGAGTCGTTGTTGTAGTTGTTGTTGTTGTCGGCAACGGACTAGTAATTGTATATCTTATGCAGAAAGTTGTTGTTTAATACTTTCACAGTCACTTCGGAGATTTCCTCTTTTTCCTTATTATTTCAAATTGAGATTACTGCATTAAGCATTGCTGGCTGCGTGAAAGAGACAACACAAGAAAAGCACACAATTTACAATATATAGAAACCGAAAAATAAGACGCTCACGACGATTATAAGCAATTATATAATGTTGTGTGAAGATTCCAAACTTTAATCGCTGCTAGCCAATTATTTATGGCTGTTGCTTTTAATCCTTGGAAGTGCTCGCGTCTTGAATAACAAGCGTGAATATCTACAAAATGCAGATGACGACGATGATGATGATGATGATGATGTAGCGACGATTTACCGTTTTTTGTTTTTCCTGCCTGTGTTGGCAGCTTAGCCGGAGCAGTAAATGCGGTGTCTTGATCGCGCGCGTTGCACGTTCGACAAACGAATCTTTGCCATTGTGCGGCCAACACTTGTATTTATAAAAAGCCACACAGAGCCGAGTGGCCCAAGACCGAAACCGAACCGTTGTCGACCTTTGCGGCGGGCAACAAAGAGAAAGGTTGGCGGCAACAGCAACAGCAGCAGTCACTGTAGAGGCTTCTCTACGGGTTACTCTTTATTTTGGAGTGGAGTTGAATGTTTTGCCTTTGCTTTTGCGGAGGGGGCTATTTTGGTTAATTCGAACGTTGACGGCGGCACAAACAGCTAGTTAGACGCTTGTTTAAATGCCCACCCGTGCATTTTGGGGGCAGCAGCCAGTCAGCCAACCGCCTGGAAGCGTTTGCTGCAGCCAAAATGCTAACGTGACACTAAATTGCCCGTCCACGCCTCCCCCTGCTGCTGCGCAGCTGCTGTTTAAGCCTGGATCAGGGACTGGGCCGGGACTGGGCCGGGCCTGGCCTGGCTTGGCCTGTTCGAGAGGCTAAAGGGCACATTTGTGTTTTCGTTGGTGTTTAGTTGCGCGGCAAATTGTGTGCATTATATATTTAACAAGCTCTACAATTTGCGCATTTGCATTTGCATTTACCTATATTTAATAACGCCCCCGAAACCAAGTTCGCTGCCTAAGTCTTTCGTTTGACATTTGCAATTGCCACCGGGCAGTTATCGCGATTTTCTTACACACACCGAAAAATTAGTAGACTGCATGGAAAAGCTGTTAAAACTTATCGGTTTGATTATGCTCTTCTTTAATACTATGTATTTTTGTTTTTATTCCTCTTCGAGTAATTTTATAGTCATTATAGTAATTACAATGTATGCCTTACTTTAGATGCACATGCAAAGACAATTTTCACTTTACATGAATAAATATTTTATGTAATTCAATTAAAAAAATATACTTTTAAAAATCGCATGTGAATGGCACTTGAACCTGTTCCTTTTCCTGCTAAGTCCGTCTATTGCTTAAGATTTCATGAGCGCAACATTAGCAAGAGTTATTTAAGCAAAATATATATAAAAATGCTACATTTATTTAAATAGCCACATATTCATCCTAAGGAATGATTTTTCTTCTTTGCGTACATCTAAAGATTTCAGTGCATGCGTGGGCTTCAGCTATAGGCTTCAGTTAGAGTCTGGCATCAATTGGCAATTTGGGCAATTGCACAGCGAATTAAATTCAAGCTCTCTTACCCAATTGCTAATTGCCTGTCTTCGTCGGTTGTCGCTTTGACTTTTGTTGTCTGTTGTTGGTGGTGTCAAAGTTAGCACGGTAGCTGTGAAATCTGGCGCTGAGGAAATGGCCTGGCCAAATTACAGACTTGCCGGCATTTCCTCATCCTTAACAAATTGATTAAGACAATTGTGCTTAAAGCAATCCAAATAAATAAGTTGATAATTATGCTTGGAAGATCTGTGAAAATTGTCTGGCAACATTTGCGCAACAGCAGCAGCCGCAGCAGCAGCAGCAACAGCAGCAACCACATCGATCAATTGCAGGCAACAACAACTAGTTTGGGATTTACTTATTATAAATTCAGCCAGTTGTTGTTGATGTTGTTGTTGTTATTGTTATTTTGCTCACATTGTCATTTAGTTGTCTGCGTGTTGCTTGTGAAATTGTTGCATTGCCTACTAGACGAAGACGACAGACAAAAAAAAAAACAACGATGCGATCAGCAACAATAACAGCAGCAGCAACAGCAACAACAGTGGCAACATCTTCTTTTCTTTTACTAGTATTTATTATTATTGTATTAAAGGTTTTTTTCTGTTGTTGTCTAGTCTTTTTTTGTAGCACAGCTTTTAATTTCAAGCAGTGTTTTTTGTTGTTGTTGTTGTAGCTACCAGAAATGCAACAGTTTGCATTCGACTTCACGTAAATCAATGATGATCATGATGATGATGATGATTATTATCGTGATGATGATGATGAGTTGGATGATGATGTTGCTCTGTAGCTGCTCTCGGCTGCACTTCACAGTTTGGCATTTGCATTCAGTATGTTATTTTTTTTTTATCGGTAGAATGTTGTTGATGCTTTTTGCGGTCGACAGTTTTATGCTCTACATTTTATGGGTATAAATTTTTATAAATGCGACAGGCTGCGCGACTTCGGACAGAAGTCAACCTTAGCATTTAGCTTATGCTTTTTGATATACATACTGTTATTGCGGGACACACACAAGCTGAGAAATCTTAATTGGCAGACTCTACGCGAATCTATTTCAAGTTGTTGTTGTGGTTGTTGTTGTTGTTAATGAAATGTTGTGCTGGACAATGGGAATTGCATAATCGTCTTGGTCGTCGTGCAGATGTCAAATGTACAAATAATACACAAACATATATAGATATGTAATGTTAGCTTGTTTTTATACCTTTACCGCTATTTGTCATGATATGGCTGGTAATAATAATTATAGGTAATCTATGTGTGTATATAATTTAAATGTAATTAAATGATTATTTAATTAACATTTCAGCTTGTTTATGGTATTGTATTGTATTGTATTGCAGAAGTTTACCAAGTAATTTAATTGGCCTAGTCGTGTGAGCTTAAGTGAATCTGCCTCGTTAAGAAACTCTGTCAGTTAATTAAAAAGAGACAAAATTTCGGAAAAAAAACTGACAGCTCGTAAAGTTTGTATTTAAATTTTATTATACAACTTAGCACTAGCAAAATTTATTTGAAATCTTAAGTCAATTACTTATGGATCTAGAACTTGAATAATGTGCTACTTAAAAATGTAATATTTTAACATTTTTAATTGCATACTTCGGAGAGCATTTTAATTACAAAGTTCTGTTGTATCTATAAGAATATTATTGCTTATATAATGATACCATATCATCTGTATAACTATTAACTCCCATATCCTATTTACTTAAATAATCGCATTAATCATAAGCGTTCAAAATAATATTAGCATTAATTAAAGCGTTTTGCGACATTAAAACTTGCATTCTAATTTATGTTTAGCTTGGATATAAATACAATTAATATGGCTTAAAGTTAAGCCAAAACTTTTTGCTGGCTTGCTTGTTTGTTTGCCCAGAACCAGTCGAGCGTAAAACTGCCATAAACATAAACAAATTCGTGATTCATGAGTTGCTAGACTATAATTCGCCCTCCCCAACAAAAGAGACGACTCCCATATCTGCTGCAGCACCAGTATCTCAACTGAAATCTCCGCTTGTATCTGTATCTGATTTTGAGTCCGGGTTCCACTGAACCGTTGCCTCACACACACACAAATACCGTTATATATGCACACTCGTCTACTGCATAATTTGCTAATGAGCGTGGCGTTTAGTCAACTGTAGACAATTTGGACTGCCATTACATGATGATGTGGGGGGCAAATAGTATTTTTGGTCTGACTTTTGACTCGGCATTACTGTTATATGATTTGCGTTTTCCTGTATTTTTTTCCCAAATATTTTCGGCTGCCAGGCCAGACAAGTGTTTCAATTTCAATTTCATAAACACAGACTGTTAGATGAAATTAATGGCCATGTTAAGTGCTACACGCTTGGCCAAAGTTGAGATTTTCACTTGCACTGAGTGCATTTATGATCAAAATATATATATTTATATATATATGTGTGCATATGTGCATTGAATGTTTGATTTAATGTTGCTGATTGCCCCATCAGTTGCCACTAATGCATTCGATAATGAGCTGTGGCAGACAATTGATAGACATATGCTTATGGACTCCATCTCAGCACAATCTCGGCGACCTTGCGTTAATTTATGTAGTATGCGCAATGCGATCGTAAAATGTCAGGGGGCACAAGAGAAGCACAGCTGAATACAAACGACATTCAAAAAAAAAATATGTTTGCATTCCATTGAGAACAAATTAAGAGGAGATCTTGGAAATGAAAAAATTGAACATATATTAAAAACTGTATATGTGTATGTATGACGAATAGACTGTTTTTGCTGAACAAAAATATGTATGCCTTATGGGATCTTAGAAACGTCCCTGTGCCCATCAAATACTTTTGCACAACATCATTTTACTCTTTTGACCCATAGTCAATGGGTATTCAGGGTATTAAAATGCTGTCAATGGTGAATATTAACCCAATTTGTAGCGTGTGGAATTTTAATTTATGCTTTTGATGAAAACATTTTCCTTTTTTCCGCTGTGTGAACATTTACATGCTATTAGTATGGTGACAAGAGAGTTGGGCAAATAAAAGCATTACCAAATTAAACAGAGATTGTCGTTTGCACAATAAATTGGTGACTCTTAATAAAACTAAATATAAAGAAACCAGAAAAGCGTTGCAATAGCAAATGCAGCCCAAATACCTATAACAAAAACAACAGCAAACCAACAACATCCACCAAAGAGTTTAGCCCAAAAACCTCAACGGATCCGCCCCAAACAATGCAACAAGTTATGAATGACAACTATGATTATAATATATATATATATATATATATATGTATATATTTATGTATGTGTGTATAAGTCAATGGAAATAATCATAGAAAATAAACAAAAAAGATTTTCACACTACAAAGGCAGCGACGACAACTAGCGAAGCATGTAAACTCGTCTTTGGTTTAACATTAGCAATAGGCCGCCCCAACCCCTTTAAGCCGCCTGTGGAGGGGCTTGCCCCCAAACGACTTCATTTACATTTTGGGCGTGAGAAGAATGAATGAGGCATGCAAAAATATGACAAACAAAAAATACATATATACAAATATATGTACATATATATATATAAAAAAAACACATCTTTCCCAGATGCATGTGCACCTGGTTTTAGCTTTAATTAGATCTAGTTGTTATGGTACTATTTATTCGCGCAACCGGCACCGCCCTTGCGGTATCTCTTTGCACATCTATCACATATATCCCATGTGCTGTTTTTTTTTTTTAAATTTGCGTGCCCTGAAATTACTATCTGCCGTGTGATGTAAGAAATTTTTATGCAAGTCCAACTAAAACTGATGCGGAACTTGGTGAATTTTATATGTGTATGTGTGTGTGTGGGAGGTGGGGGAGGGAAATATGTGCATGTATGCATAGAGTGCGACGGTGGCAATTAGCATTTGGGATTTCCCAAAGATATGGCAGCACTCTGGCCATGGTTTATGCGGTCGCACAGCAATTAAGTTCTTTTCTATTAGTATGCCTTAAACGGCGGGCTGATCAGCCGCCACAAGGCTGCCAAAAAGATTCGTGTGAAATGTTCACACATTACACAGTTAATCATCGCAATGAGAATGGGCATGTAACATAATAATTACACATGCCTATTTATGTAGTCATTTAAGTGTAATCGTAGTCGTAACAATTGTGAATGAACAAGGATTATCGTTGGCAATTTGGAGGAAAGTGCATAACGATATTGATCGCACTCTGTTTGCTATTTACCAGCACTGGCTTTGCCATTTTTTAACAGTCATTCGCCAGCGGCCAATTATTTACATTTTATGAGAAAAACAATGACTTTAACGAAGTTATGGCCGTGCGTTACAAAACCGTTGATTATCAACATGTTTTTGGACAACAAATATAATTTTTGATAAACACACACACATGTCAATGTATGCCAATTCCATCATCTTTTGAGTCCCAAGGTTTATTACAAGAAAAAACCGCTGAATATATGGATAAAAAAATAAGAAAACAAAACAACGATGAGAAAATGTGCACAAGACAAAGCAATTTTTGCTTAAATACCAGCAATTAGGCACGCACCCGCACAAGAAATAAATGTCTTTGAAAATGGCCAGCACATTTTACAAGCTGACATTTCAATGGAGTCGCCAAATGTTTTAATTTAACAAAGCACACACGAGAAATGAGAAATGTCAATGGCCAGCGGCTAAAAATGCGTAACAGTTGCAGTTAATAACATTAAAATGCGTTTGGCTGGCATTAACAAAACACTATTTTTTTTGTATTTGCAATCAGGCTAGGAAACTTGATTCGGTAAACAAGCTGCCACCTTGGCATTTAAAATGTGGCAAAGTGCAAACAAACACAAAAAAGCTGCACAACAGGAAGAAAAAAATACAAAACAAAAAAGTCGTTGAAATTTCTTAATAGAAGAGCCAAAAACCCCGCAAGCAAGGTAAAAACAAGTTGCAGCTACAGATTAAATGTTAAAATAGTAACGGGCTACACAACTAAAGCCGGCAAAAAATCAAAATAAAAACGACGAAGACAAAAACCGGATTTGTGGCACAGAACAATGCGCGCATAAATCTCGCCACAGCCGAGCTTGCAATTTACCACAATCGGTTGAATGAGCGATTGTCAGGGATTAACGTCACACAAGCCGGACAACAGACAGACAGACAGACAGACAGACGGTCCCCATCAGCATATCAAATATAAATAAAAATAAACAGCCGCCGGGTTGCATACCAAATCAAATCAAAGCTTGACATTGTGTGACGCGGCGTTGTCTGATTTAATGATAATAAAAGGAAGCAAGAGCGAGGAGAAGGAGAAGCCTCTATTTATATTAACGCACAAGTAGCGCTGTTAAGTGGCACATATTGTGTAATATATGACCACATGCAGACACCCTGCCACAGCTGTGGCGCCGGCGTCGGCTCAATCATCATATGCGACATGCTGCAGTGAAAGTTAATTTTGCGAAAAATTATGAAATGAAATGAAATGAAATGTGTTCGTTTTCCTTTCAGTTCAGCCAGCTTGCCAGCGATCGCATTGTCTTCTCCGAACGGAAATAAACAAGCAACAATGAAAATAACAATAATAACAACAACAGCAACAATAAGAAAAACAGTCTCTCTACAAGGTTAATAAATACATCCGATAAAATAGGCGGCGCTCTAAAAACCAAAATTCACTTAATCAAATTAAATAGCTGCCCATTTTTCTAAACTCTCTAAAGTGCCCTGCCCTGCACAAATTGGCAGATAAATAAATTTTCGCTGTTTCATTGTTTTTGATGGCAAGTTTTCAACTTTAGAAAGGCTCAACAAAAAAGTGCTCTCGATTTGCAGAGGCACAGGTGGTTTTGCTTATGCTTTTTGTATCCAGAAAATGTCCGCATGTAAAAGTTGTAACTTTTTTTGTACGAGTTTTGTTTTTTTTTATTTGCTGCTGTTGCAACCAATTCACTGGTTTTGGCCAGTTGCAGTTAGTATTATCATCATCTAAGACGCGTGGTGAATGGGTTGTTGTTGTTGTTGTGGCAGAGTCGGGTTCAGTTGGAGTCGGCGGCTGTCGTCTTGGTGGCCGCCTTGATTATCGCAGCTGGGGTGCGTTTTCCATTGACCAAGACTTGTCGTTTCGTCGACGCCGGTCCGGGTCGACTGGTGGCCTTGCTGGCTGCTGCAGCTTTGGCCGTTGCTGGTTTCTTGGCTGGGGTTGTTGTTGTTGGTGGCTCCTGTTTGCCAACTGCTGCTGACTTGGTGGGTGTTGTTGCTGCCACAGCTGCCTTTTTATCAGCTCCTTTGCCGCCAGCCGTTGAGGGTTTGGTTTCCTTTGTAGACTCATCGGCACTGCCATTGGCATCATCCTTGACATCCTTAAGTTTGTTCTTTTCGCTGCAATTTTGGATTCATATTATTATAGCAACTGTGCTGCTTTAAAAAGTATGAAAACGTACCTTTCGATATCAATATTTAGCACAGATTCATCTTCTTCCTCCTCTTCTTCGTGGGGGAGTGGCTCCAAGTCGGCCAGGAGATCACCCAGATCCTTGTCCACTTCCTCCCACAGATTTTCATCGTGCGACTCTTGAGCATCGTCATCGTCGTCTTCATCCTCCTCCGCCTTGCCATCCATTTCGATGTCCTCCTCAGCCTCAGCCTCGTCAATATCCTTCTTCGTCGACTTATTGCCCGCCTCGTCGTCATCGGCATCGTGTTCATCATCGTCGCCAACCTCAGACTTGCTTTTCTTATCAGTCTCGTCCTTGTGACGCAAATAGTTCTTAATGTGCGAGTGTTGCAGGCAATGCTTCTTTGTGTACGCCTCCAAGGTATCGTCGCCGCCCTCTTTGGTCGAGTGATGATTGCATAGTTCGCAATAGAATGCCTCCACCGTCTTAATGAAGTCCATACCGATGAGGCCACGCTTACGGGTCTCCTCGTCATTGCTCTTCTGAGCCGTTTCGGCTTCTAACAGCATGGCATCGACATCCGCATCCATGATGTCATCATCGATCTCGCCCACCGAATCCACGGTGAGGAATTTGTTCAAATCAATCTCACGCTCATCCACACTATCCTCTGAACCGGATTCATCGTTGCGCGCCTTACTCTGTAGGTGCACCGAATCCAGACAATATATATATATATATACATATAGATTATAAAGAAATATGGAATTAAGATTTGGTACACCTTACCCGAATATGCTCCAGCGAACAGCGATGATTCTCATACAACATCGCATTCTTAAAGGCCAGATGACAGGAGCCACAGTATGGCATCAAGAATTTCTTAATCGTCTTATGATGCTCCGACGCCTGATGCATGTTCTTCGGCTGGCGATATGCCAAGCGGCAGAGGCGGCAATAACGGGACTCATACTCCTCCTTGCTATTCTCCTCGATCTCACGCTGTGTGGTGCGTTGACGAGCTCGCATCCGTTGCAAGTCGGCGCGCTGCCTCAATGCGACCGTACGCATCGCGTTCTTATGGGTGCGCGAGTTCAAATGATAGTGATATTCCTGTCAAACATTATGGAATATATAAATAAAATATATATACAATATAAGGCTATAGTTGGAAGTGGGAAACAGGTATTTGAGTTTGTTGTAGAGTCGAACTTCTTGTAAAGACTTCTTTTGTTCGAATACACCTCAAGCAAGTTCGACTGTACACTCAGAATTGCAACAATCTCGTTCACTTACCTTAAAGGTTACGCACTTGATGCGGCAGTGTACGCAGGTGAGTTTGATGAAGGTGCGCTTGCGCAGATTATTGTGATCATCGTCACGATGACGCGAGGATGTTCGTCGCTCTTTGCGCTCATCATCGCTGTCGCCCTTGTCCTTATCTTTGCGCGAGGAGCGCGCCTTCTTGTTGCTGGACGATTTCTTGGACTTGGACTCTTTGTCGTCGCCGTCTTTGTCTTTTTTCTTACCTATCGACGACTTTTCGGCATTGCTCGCTGACGATGATGATTTGGTGGCTCCCTTCTCTTTGGGCTTGTCGGCGACATCGGCCGAATCTTCGGTCTTCACCTTGCCCTCATCATCATCATCATCGGAGCCCGCTGATGCTTTGGCATTCTTTTTGTCAGCATCAGTCGATGTGCCAGTGCCATCATCATCGTGCTCTTGGTCATCGTTCTCATCCTTGACCTTATCATCATTGGACTTGCCGCTTGCCTCGGCATCATCCGAGGATGCCATTTTGCTGCTACGCTGCTTTTTGCCTGTCGACTTTTTCAATGAATCGCTGCTCTTCTTTCCATCCCCATCCCCGCCAGCGTCTTCCTTATCGTCCTCATCATCATCGTCGTCATCGTCGTCGCCATCATCATTGTCATTGCTTTGTTTCTTCTTGTTCTTGTTCTTCTTATCAGCAGCATCATCATCATCATCATCCTTGTCAGCATTATCAGAGTCATCATTGTCATGGCTAGAATTATCGCTGCTGTTCCCTCCCTGGCGTTGACGCCGCAACGAGCTATGGAATTCGAATTGAATTTTTTTGGTTTTTGTTGTGATTTTTTTTTTGTTTGTTTGGGGGAAGGCGCAAATGCAAATTGTTGTGATAAGTACACAATACGAATACTTATAAGATGATAAGGCTAACAAACAGATCTGTATTTATTATTGAGTGTGTCGGCCTAGAGATATGATACATACTTTGGAGTATACATATATATATATTGGATTTTACAGAAGATTATATACGAACGTGTTCTCGCTCAAATAAACATTTTCAATTTGTGATAATAATGCTGCCAATATAATATCTATATTATATAGTTCTTAAACACTCGGAATTCTCACTCATGTGAATGCATTTATATAGTAGAGATATATTATATATAGTGTTCATATCACACACATATATCACAACATATTTTTGGTGATCTCTCGGGCGCTTCATTGGCACATTGGCGTTACGTACTTTCAACAACTATCAGCCTTGAGATTTGTCCTCTTTTTAATAGGATTCACACAGAGAATATAGTGGATGACTTTTATCTTTTATCTGGATTTTTTTATAAACGTTTTTTTTTTTTGTTTTTGTCTAATTACCTTTTCAGCTGTTGAATCTTGAGGAGGCGAGCGCGATCTTTTTGCTGTGCATATAGCAGTTGGCGGCGCATGGTGCGCAGATCATTGGATTCGTTGATGCGCGGCCGCACAATCCTCATGGTGCCAACGCCGCGCATGCCAGCGTTGTTGCTTCGAATCATGCCGCCACGCATCGACATTGAGCCGCGTGGTCGCGATATATAACTGGTGCCGGCAACACTGCGGATTAGCGGCCGCTTTGGCGGACCCATCGATGAGTCGCGCTGATGATGTCGCTGCTGGCTGCCGCCACCAATGCTGCCGCCATCATCACGTGGACGATACGAACTGGTGCTCATGCCACCACCACGATCATTGTTGTTGTTATTGCTGTTGCGTTGATGATAACTCGATGAGGAAGAGCCGCCGCCCATGTTCTGCGATGACGATGATGGGCGATCGTTGTTGTGATCATTTGACGAGGACGTGCGACGGTAATCCTATTGACGATTCATGATGAATAGGAAGTAGGAGTGTAGAGGAGCATTGTTTTTTTTTGGTTTGTTTTTTTTTTGGTTTGATATTCGAATAGGTATATTTATACATATATAAATTTCTTGTTTATGATAAAGAATTGCTGTATATATATTTCCTATATATAGATATAAATTGGGTTATCGTTATCCTGGAGCAAGTGTGTGTAGTAGTAGTAGTAGTAGTAATTATAGCATGATGAGAACAAACCTTATACTTTTTTTTATATGGTCTAGATATATAGCAAGTTATCTGTTGTCGGAACGGAGAAATTGCCTGCTCTGCGGCAGGCATTTTTAGGATATACGTATATATATATATATATACATATAAGATATAGTAGATACTCAAACAGATCAATTCAATTCATGCTTTTCTATGCGTATAAAATACATATATGTAAATATATTTCGGTGTGTGGCAAAATCTTTGCTATATGCGTAGCTGCTGCTGCTGCTGCTATTTATCTATCTATATATATGATAGATATATGTGCAATTTAAATACAGTTCTTGCGTTCTCAAAGTCTTATATGTCTATATATGCTGACTACTTTGAGTGCGTTTTATATTATTTATTTTTGTCTTTCCATTTTATTATTTTATACGCTCTAGAATCCGGCGTTAAACCTTCACAAAATAGTGCTATAAATATTTGGAAACTGATTAAAATTACACAGACAGTCAACAAACCAAATGCAATCTTAGCAAGAAAAAAACCTGAAAACTATTTTTTTTCTTCTGTTTTTGGGTTTAAGTCAAAAATAAACTTACGTCTTGACGCGGCCGTTTGCGGTCATCGTTGCGATCGCGTGACGAATCCTGGCAAACAATGAAGAATAAAGAATGAGTCATATAAATAAATACTAATTTTAAGCCTGTTACTCTTACGTAGCTGCGCTTGTGACTGGACCCGGAGGAGTCGTAGCGTCCACCTCCCGTGCTCGAATTGTGATGATTGTTAAACTTGTCACGATTGTTGCGATTGTCATAGTGATCGGTGTTGTTGTTATTGCCACCACCTCCACAATAGCGATTATTGGTATGATTGTTGTTGTGATAGTTGTTCTCATAGCGTCCACTGTTGGGACGATAATTGCCCTGGGTGCGTGTGTTCACGTAATTGCTAGAATTCCGATTGTTGTAGTAGCCGCCGCCTCCGCCACCACCTCCGCCCCCACCGCGCAGTGGGCCACCAATTCCACGTGGAACGTATCCGCCTCGACCACGCATCCTGCTGCTGCACCAAAACACACAATCCCATGGAGAGGGAGAAAAAAAATCAGTATTCACAATACGCTTTTCTTTTTTAAGCCCAAAGAACACCCTGTATTCCAACACCGGCGAAAAAAAATCGATATTGCCTGGACACAAACACAAATTGTGCACGCATTCACTGCACTCACCTCTATTTTCTAATATATTAGTTGCCTATAAGCTTTCAATTGCTTGCCTGTGCACGTGTGTGCAACTATATTGCAAATATATTTAAGGTATTAAATCACACAAAAACCAGCACTAGATCTTGACGAACGAAAATTTTCTTCGACAATAGCCTGCTTGCTAGTGATGTGCAAGCAACTTATCGATTTAGATGATAAGATCTGACAGATCAGTGTGGCCAGATGTGGGAGAGCATATAAATACATAATATGGTGCTTTTGTGAATCATTTAGCGTTGCCACATCAATTTATGGAATAGCGCAAAATTTTGCCTTTTTAATTGCTTTAGCAATACAATTCAGATTTTAAAGAATTCAGTACATTAATATGTCCTTTACTCAATAGAAAGCAGCGTAAATGTATGAAAAATTAATGCTAAATTAAGTTTTACATATTTTACAGTTGACAGCATACACACTAAATATTCTTTTGGGGCAAGAATGAAGTTCGTATTCGCATTTAGACAATTCCCGTCGGACGCACGTTTATCGGTGGTTGTGGTGTTCCCGAGGGTTTTGTCATAATATCGACAGCGTTCTTGAAGAGTTGCGTTTTGACGAAATCGGTGGCAGCACTGTTCAAATCCTTGCTAGCTCCATAATTGCACTTGACATAGCCATACAAATTGGCCGCATTCAGCGCAATCGCAATCATGACCAACAACAGCCACTTGAATTTCAACCCAAACAGAGCCATCAGAAAGAAGAGACCCCAGAAAAGGGGACACAATATCAATCCCAGCCAGAAAATGCGCTGCTCGTGTTTGTTGATGCGACTCTGGAATGTGGAAGACTATAGTTACAGTTATCGTTTTTTGTTTACAGACACTAAATATTGTTCTCTATATTTTCGCTTACATTCTTCGACTCGAAAACCCAATGCGATTTGCCCTCGTCGTCGACATAATTCCACCAGCGCAAGCCGACCAAGAGACGACCCGAGATATTCTTCACCGTCCAGAAATCGGCGGACAAAAAGAGCACTACAAACACGAAACTGGTGATGAAGGAATCGCTGAACCAGCCGCAGAAGATGTAAATAACAATGGAGGCGCCGCGGAAGAACAAATGGAAGAAGGTCACATAAGGATGACTAATGATGAAGAGAGAGAAGTGTGGAAGAAGAAGAAGGTAAACACCAACATGCACACAATATTATACATGTATGTATATATTTTTTTGACGCATTGCTTACGTGTATTTTTGAGCTGCGGTGCTCGGATCACGCATCTCATCCTCCTCTCCAAAGGGTATCGTATCATCGTCCAGTAATGGCACCTGTGCAAAACAGAAATTTAAGCAATTAGCATTTGTATTTTTATCACTTTCAAAATATTGCTTTCTTTTTTGTTATCTTTGCGTTGTTTTTGGTATTGTTGGCAGTTCTAACTGTTCCAACTGCATCGTTTTACTTGTGAGTGTGGCATACATACATTTCTTACCGTTGCGGATGCCATGCTTATTGTTAATATGGCTTGACTAACTTTTTTCTATTTATTAATTATTAATTGAATGTAAAAAACTAATTTGATGCATATTTTTTTGCTCGCTGCTTGCGAAGATATGTGCATATCGCACTCGTACTGCTGATTGTCATCGATAAGCTATCGATAGAGTAGCTGCGCGATGTGGCAACGCCAACTTCATTATTGTTTACATTTTGCTCTGATAATAACGGAGAGCGGTCTTCTGAGCGCAACATCAGCTTTTTTTTGTTTTTTTTCGTTTCCTATCTACACAACTACAATACTCCAAATTATTGTAGAAATGGTCAGCAATTGATAAGAATGTTTCATGCTAAAGACACCAGGCTGGCAACAATCAGTTGCAGCTAACAACGCTCTCAGTGCACTTGCAGTGACATTGATAAGCAGCGAAAAGCGTACAAAGTTAAAAGCAGCAGAATTCAGTTACGTGCAAACCGCCCAGCCAAACAGACGTCCAACAAATCAAAAAACGGCAAGTACTCAAATGGGAGGAGGTCAGCGAATGAATGAATGAATGTGCGTGCGACAAGTGCAAGAAACGAGTTACGATAACAACAGCAAAAAAAAGCACACTGAAGAAGCACCTCAGACAGAGAGAGATAGAGAAAGAGAGAGAGAGGTCAGCGATCTTTAGCCAGCAGCTCATCATTTGTTAGCGCGTGCATATGTATACATATGTATGTGTGTGCAGTTAAAAACAAAAAACTACATTCGATTTCAAGGGTAGCCGCAGCAGCAGAAACAAAAGTAAAAACAACGTGTATTCATCTAGATATCAACACATGTCAGCAACATTTTCGGTAGATAATTAATAATAACATAAACTCAGTTGAGGTGAGACAGAACAGACACAAACACACACACGTACACTCAACACGTACACAAAGCACCGTTAACAAGAATTCGACTCGGTGTAGAATATTTTTGGTGACGTCAAGTTCGAATTTCGCTTTAAAATTTAACCCAATTTTCACTTTTGCAGTTATCAGTTATCAAAGCACACTTGCAGCGAACAGTTCTCTTTTTAATACAATGGCTCCACCCACTGTTCTTGTTACCGGCGGCGCTGGGTATATTGGCTCGCATACCGTGTTGGAGATGCTCAACGCTGGCTACAATGTAATCTGTGTGGATAATTTGTGCAATGCGTACAGCGGCGGTGCATCCAAGCTGCCGGAGGCATTGAACCGTGTCCAGGAAATCACCGGTAAAAAGGTCAATTTCTATCGCGTGGACATCACGGATCGGGAGCAAGTGCGTTCGGTGTTCCAGGAGGTGAGTTGTTAATTGAAAAATTGACGTGGCAATTTGGATGGATACATGTGGCACATTTCAACTCGAAAAATTTCCATATTTCTTATCAGACCTGTTGCTTTTGCTGCTGCTGTTGCTGTCGAGATATCAGTTTGTTCATAGTGTTTACTCAATTGTTGCCCGCTTCCGACGTCTCCGCTACAATCGGACTGCATAGGCATTTGACCTCGCGTCACATAACTCGATGTGCTGGCAACAGCAGCAACGACAACGTCAACATTGACGTTGCACTTAAAGCAGCAACAATCTGATTGCAGTTAATCTATCTGTTTACTTAGCATCAATTGCCTTTGCCGAGGGTATTTTAATGCCATATACTAAGAATGCTTCCAAAAGAGTTCATCCTTATGTACATATATATGTATATGTATTTAACAACTTTATTCATTCAATTCTTATCAAACATACACATAATCATGGCAATCGCAACATAAAATTAAAAACTTATCACTTAGGGACTAGTTAATTAAAAACGTTTTCTTAAAAAACAATTGAAGATTTGAAGTTATCTCCGAGGCAAATTAAATTGAAATTAGTCACATTCCATAAAGCACTATCTTATGAGTCACTAATTTAATCTTGGAGATTACTAAAAATAACCAGATATATCTTGCTCCTAACAAGTTTATAACTTTTGAACATTTAAATGAATGGCTCAATATATTATATTTAATTTTGTATTGTTTCCTTAAATCTCTCCAGACAATATTAAATCCTGTTTGTTTTTCTCAATTTCAAGCACAAAATCGATATGGTTGCGCACTTTGCGGCGCTGAAAGCTGTTGGCGAATCCTGCCGCATACCATTGCAGTACTATCACAACAACATGACCGGCACCAATGTGCTGCTGGAGGCCATGGCCGACAACAATGTCTTCAAATTTGTGTACAGCTCCAGCGCCACCGTTTATGGTGAACCAAAATTCTTGCCCGTCACCGAAGAGCATCCGACGGGCAATTGTACATCACCCTATGGCAAAACCAAATATTTTACAGAGGAAATCCTCAAGGATCTGTGCAAGTCCGATAAGGTGTGAACGTATATATAATATCATAAATTATCAGTTAAGCTAATCATTTGTATTTTGCATTTTATCAGCGTTGGGCAGTTGTCTCGCTGCGCTACTTTAATCCGGTGGGCGCACACATCAGCGGACGCATTGGGGAGGATCCGAATGGCGAGCCGAATAATCTGATGCCCTACATTGCCCAGGTGGCGGTGGGTCGTCGTGCCAAATTGAGCGTATTTGGCAGCGATTTCGCAACGAAAGATGGCACCGGTGTGCGTGACTACATCCACATCGTTGACCTGGCCGAGGGACATGTGAAGGCCTTGGACAAGTTGCGCAACATTGCCGAATCTGGTTTCTTCGCGTACAATTTGGGTACTGGGGTTGGCTGCTCGGTGCTGGAACTGGTGCATGCTTTCGAACGTGCCTCCGGCAAGAAGGTCACCTATGAACTGGTTGACAGACGTTCCGGCGATGTGTCCACTTGCTATGCAGACGCACAACTGGCTGAGACGAAACTGGGCTGGAAGGCAACGCGCGGCATTGATAAAATGTGCGAGGACACGTGGCGTTGGCAGAGTCAAAATCCCAATGGTTATGCCAATAAGTAGTTTCATGGCTAGCATGCCTCATTTCATTGTCTGTTCTTGCCCCCCAAATGCGTGGCAAGCTGTTCCCCTCCCCCACTTTAATCTGTACACGTGCCACTTTCTGTTCGCCTCGCTCCTTGCAAAAACTTGAGTTATTTGTAATTATTTTAATTAGCAAATTGATTGCGTATAAAACTAGTTGTGTATATGTTTTTTGTCCAATTTTTAAGTGCAAAATGTTACAAAATTTAATTATGTATGTTTGTGTTTGTGTCTGTATGTGCGTGTGCGTGTGTGTGTAAGCCCAAAGTAATTGGTAATAAAATAAAAACATGGCAATAAGCTGAACCTACGTCTGCTGAGTTATCATTGTTGTTGTCAAACAATCGGGGAAAACACATCATTTCTGTGTCTAGAGGCAAACATTTATTCAATGCAATTCAACATTTAAAAACTGATTTTAAAAATACTTAAAAAATACATATTTAAAAAAAACACATCTGCACAAGTAACGGCATATTTATCACAATTATGTAATATTTAGTTTTAAACAACTTTTTGCGATCTTTTTTTGTTTTGGTTTTTTGGAATGCTGCTGATTGTTTTAAGATTGTTGTTTCTGGGTAGGTGTATAAAAGTACAAAATTTACTTTAATCCTGACATATTAACGAGTATGTCTCACTATTCGATATGGGCTCAGAGAATGTACAATGAGAATCATAATTTATACACTTTATATGGAGTCGTTGTGAACTTGGCTTATGTTTATATTAATGTGTGTATTTTGTGGTTTTGGCAAATGGTTTTTTCTTTTTCTTACACGGTTTTCTTGGCAAATCGTACAACAAGTGGAGTATTTGTATAACAACCTAATATGGGTTTTTGATTTTCTTTCCCTTTTTCATTATCAACTTAAACCAAGTCAAAGAAAATCAATTTAACAAGAAGCTTTTCTACGCTCTACATTGGTTTTCTATGTTTTTGTGGCTAAATATATGTGTGCGCGATATGCATATATAATAATGTTGTTTAAGGTTTAATTATACGTATGCTTACATATATAAATAAGTATTCGAGTAGTTTTCCAAAAGATCCGCTAGCGATTGAGATAGATTCAGAGAGAGAGCGAGAGGGAGATGGGGAGAGATCCTTAGCAACGCGGGAGGCAATTTGTAGTAATAATAGTTATTAGTGAATGCTACTGTTGCTGCTGCTGCTTATTAGTGGGAGGACCAGCCGAATTGCAGTGATTATGTCGATGTGACACCCTTGCGTGCAACGAGCATATTGAGTATGGGATTTTTCCTTATATAGCTAACGGCCTTTTTATGTGTGACCATTGTGAAATCGTAGCCATTGCATTGCAGTATCTTGTCATGGATGCGCAAACCAGCCCGGGCAGCTGGACTGCCTTCGTGCACCTCCGTCACATAGATGCCCTAGAAATCGATATGAATATGTATATAATTTAGCATTGATTAAACCATTTTATTGTACATACATAATCCGTGTAGCCTTGCGGACTCTTTTTGTAATCCTGATCGATGCCGCCGCCTATTTTAAAGCCACATTTGAGGATCTCTCTGCCCTCTTGGTCGTAGTCTTTTTCCTTATGCAGCGTTATGGGAATCTAAGCCAAAACAACAACATAAATAAAGCAGACTAATACGTGAAAGTTTGTTTATGGCCAAGTCTCTATTCGAATTCGACCCAATTACACGTACACACACACACACACACAACGTGCCCATATATTTACGGGAAGAACGCTGTTGCTACCTGTATGTGTCTGTGGGTAAGTATGTATTTGTGTGTGCGTAAAATTTACAACTTACGCTTAAACATTCCATTGCCGTGCCGGCCTGATGCTGAAATGCCATTTTCGCCATGATTAGTGCAGTTATTTATTTACTTTCTTTAATGCCCAGCGAATGTATATAAGAATTTTATTTCTTAATTTGTGGAGTTGAGATATTTGAGTCGCCGCCGTCGCCTACAAAACACAAACTGCTTATTCTCTACTGCATCACAAATGGGCAGTGTTGCAAAGCGCCCAAACCAAATAATCAACATTGCTTTAGTTTGTATTCTTTCTTTTTTTTAATTATTAAATTTACATAAATAAACAATCGGAATTTGAAAATAGTATTTAGATCTAAGAGCGCCGCATGGCCAACATCGTATTAATTTCCCAGATAATGATGCGTGTTCTGTCAATAATCTCCCGCAATTGACGATTTTTCAATTTAACTGTTTCGATTAATTCCTGATTCTCTTGCAAAACTTTGCGATATTCATCACATTGAGAGGGTTCGATGCGCGGATCGGGCTCATCTCGGTAGGGAATCAGACTCTCCGCATTCATATAATCCATCCCAGCATCATTGCACTTCTCGTAGATGATGCGGACTCGCTTGAAAAGCAATCGAATTGTGCGAAAATATTCCTGCACTTTTTTCTCCGTATTATTGTCGCGATGCGAAGTGGGTTGTATATTCTTCAGGGCGGAGAAGACTTCCTGGAAGCGTGATGCAATATCCTGAACCGTTTCCTGACCCAGTCGCGACAGCTGCACTATATTAATCTCCTTGTGCGGATTGGGTTGAGAAATGGCGAGCATGTTGTTGCCACCACCTGGTCCACCAGCTGCACCTGCGCCAGGATTATGCTGCTGCTGCTGTTGTTGCTGTGGCATATTGGGTGGATGTTGTTGCGGACCAGGCACCATACCTACTCCTTGCTGTGGACCCATCATCTGTTGCTGCTGCGGCATATTGGACATGGGAACGCCGACGCCTCCCTGCATCATCTGTTGCTGCTGCATCTGGTGTTGTGGCGACATGCCCATGCTTTGCATTAAACCGGGTGGTCCACTCGCATTGGGATTCATTTGCATGGAGCCGGGTCCACCTCCTGGTCCTCCCATCATGTTCATTTGATGCTGTTGCTGCTGCGGTGACATGTGCATGCCTGCGCCGCCTTGCATAAAGCCACCGCCCATGGGCATCATGTTGGGGCCACCGCCACCACCACCACCACCAGCACCACCACCAGGTGGTCCTTGATTCAGTTGATTCTGACTGTATTTCCACATTTTACGCTTAACTCAGAAAAAATGCAGCTGAACAAAACAATAACAGCAAATGTAATTACCAACACTAAATACGAGCAAGTGCTGCCACCTCTCAAAATATCGATAAGTGCGAACAGTAATTGGCTGAAGCTATCGGCCAAGCTTAACCTGCTTCCAAAACAGTTTCAAATTATTGGCAGCCAATTTTGGTAGCTGTGCTGTAATGGCAGACGAAGATCACAATGGATTTAGTGAGTGGGTGAGTAGTTGGACAATTTAATGATCAGCAACTAACACTCGCTTTTGCAGGGCGGTTACTTTGAGGCAAAGAAATCGAAGCTGGAGGAGCAATTTGCTGCTGCCAGCAATCCATTTCGCAAATCAAATCTATTCGATGGCATTTCCATATTTGTCAATGGCCTGACCAATCCCACGGCCGACGAGCTGAAACGTATAATGATGGTGCATGGGGGCACTTTTCATCACTATGAACGATCGCACACGAAGTTCATCATTGCATCCAATTTACCCGATGTGAAGGTGCGCAAAATGGACACCAGCCGAATCATTGCAGCCCAATGGGTTGTGGATTGTGTGGAGCAGAACCGTGTGCTCGACTATAAGCCATATCTCTTGTATACCAATCAAAAGACGACACAGCCACGTCTCAATTTCGGAAAGGGCAAGAAGAATGACTCGACTCTCGACAATTCAACTGTCGCCGAGGAAACCGAACTGGATGGCATACTCAAGGAGCTGCAGCAGGATGTGGCCACTTCGCCCAAGAAGCACATCAGCCATATCAATAATTTATCTGCTACCACAACGAGCAACCATCCGAATAGCAGCCACAGCGCCCGCACCGCCGTTGATCCAGAGTTCCTCAATGAGTTCTACAAGAACTCACGTTTGCATCACATCGCAACACTTGGTGCCGGTTTCAAGCAATATGTGTGTGAGCTGCGTCAGGCACATGGCAACAAGCCGTTTGTCAAGCGAGGTGAACTTCGTACACTACTAGTTGCTGGCAAGCTGCTGTCAGAAGATGTCTCCACGAAGACACCTAAACGTTATGTGATGCACATTGATATGGATTGTTTTTTTGTATCTGTTGGACTGCGTTCGCATCCGGATCTTCGTGGCCTCCCCATTGCGGTGACTCACTCGAAGGGTGGTACCGGTGCCACCGATGTGCCAGTGCATCCCCAAGCCAATCGTCAGGTGGAGCGGGAACTCTTTGCCCAGCGTTTCGAGCAGCATTTGCATGACAATGTGCGAGCGGATAAGGTGCGCTATGGGTTCCAGAAGAATATGTCCTTGTCGGAGATTGCCTCGTGTAGCTACGAGGCGCGTGCCAAGGGCATCAGGAATGGCATGTTTGTGGGTCAGGCCCTCAAGCTGTGCCCCGAACTAAAGACCATACCATATGACTTTGAGGGCTATCGAGAGGTGAGCAAGGTTTTGCACAAAATAAGATTTACTCTGACACTATCTCTTTTCCATCGACAGGTGGCCTTTGCCTTGTACAACACTGTGGCACAGTACACACTCAATATCGAGGCTGTCAGCTGCGATGAAATGTTTGTGGACTTAACGGATGTTCTGCAGGAACTCCAAGTGGATGTGATGACATTTGTGACCCATCTACGCCAGGAGGTGCGTGATATAACTGCTTGTCCCTGCTCAGCGGGCGTCGCTGACAACAAGTGAGTGGGATTCCAGTTAAGTTAACAAACTCTGTAACTCTTTCACTTGCTCAACAGACTGCTCGCCCGCATGGCCACCAAACTGGCTAAGCCCAATGGACAACATCTGCTGCAGACGGAAGACGCAGCCAATTATATGGCCACGCTGGCCCTGGATGTGTTGCCGGGTGTGGGCAGCAGTATTACCTACAAGCTTAATCAGGCTGGTTTGAGCAACTGTGCTGATGTGCAGCAGGTTTCGCTGGTGCGCCTGGAAATGCTGCTGGGCAAGAAAATGGCACAGACACTCTATCAAAACTGTCGCGGCATCGATCCACGTCCCTTGGTCTACGAACAGGTGAGATGAAGGTATAAAAACCAGCTTGTTCTTAAATTTTATGTAATCTTGTAGCAACGCAAATCGATTTCTGCTGAAGTTAATTACGGCATCCGCTTCAGCAAATACGAAGAGCTGGAGAAGTTTCTCAAACAGCTAAGCGGTGAGGTTCACAGTCGTCTGATAGAGATTAAACGCAAGGCCAAATCTATCACCTTGAAGCTAATGGTTCGCGCTGCCGAAGCTCCCGTTGAAACATCCAAGTTTATGGGACACGGTATCTGCGATAACCAGACAAAGTCTTTGCTACTCAAACAAAGCACTGATGATTTGGAATTCATTACGCAAAATGTGCTTAAGCTGATGAAGGAGTCCGGATTTCCCCCAAACGAGCTGCGTGGCATTGGCATCCATCTCAGCAAGTTAGATGATGTTGTCGAGTCGAAAAAGGAGAATCTCATCATGAATATGTTCTCCAAAATCTCTGAGAAGCAAAAGGGTATGCTTAATTTCTTATGTCACTTGACACTTGATAATTGTCATTCTGTGTCTTTTTAGATAAATCGATAAATATACCAATCGCAATCCCAATCAAGGAACCCTTGGATATGAAAGCCAAATCGGATAGTACTAATGTGCTTAGTTTGCTAAAAAACGCAGCAACTAGAAGCAAATCCAACCCAGCAGCTGCATTCAAAATTGCTAATTTTTTTCAGGTGACTGCAACGGAATCAAGAAAGCTGGAACCACAAAAAGATATTGGACTCAATATGACCAAAAAATCGACGGGCTTTATTCCAATTCCAAGCGGGGAGTCAACAATAGCCAAATCTGCAGCTATTTCACATTTTGATCCGGATGTTCTGGCACAGCTGCCAGAGGAATTACGTCGAGAGATTCTTAACTCTGCGGATGAATATTTGGCGATTTCGAAAAGCAACAATAATAGAAAAAGGAAATCGAATTCGCCTTCGAGCACAGGTTATTCGTCGTCCTCACCACCGCCGCCACCACCAATGATACATGTTGCTTCCTGGGCTGACTGTTTTTTGAACCGAAGCGATCTGCAGCCATCCACATCGAAAGCGGGTCTGGCCAGGGAAAATAAGCGTCTGTGTCGTGCAGATCAAATTGTGACCAAGTACATGGAGGAGCTGCCCCAACACATGCATCCCGCAATTCACCAATATATCACGTTAAACAACAAACAGAAGGATGTGGCGCCAACTGTTGAACAACCGGAGAAGCAAACGAATATCTTTGTCAATCCCAATTACAAATCGTTGCTGGCCACCTGGGTGAAAACGGAGGCGGTGCCCAAACCCACCGATGTGAACCTAATCTATTTGAACATTTGTGATCTGGTTCTCGACAATCAAATGGATAAAGTCTACGAGATCATGAAGTACTTTTGTTGCATCGTTAAAACGAAGAGACGCAATTCATGTTGCTGGCACATGGCCTACAATGAGATCGAGTCCAACATACAGGAGAAGGTGCAGGAGATTCTCGACTGTCACATCTACATTAGGGAAGCAATCGATTGCTGCAAGTGCCAGAGCTTTAGAAGCTAATTCCTGGAGTACAAATGTTCCTTAATTGTACCCTTTGAATGTCACTTAAACGGCATGTTTCTTGTGGTAATTACATATGACTCATGTAGAAATAAGCATTTTTGTAATATCTACGCACAGTATTCTAAGAGAAGAAAAATTAACAAAAATGTTAATATTTTATGAAGTTCGTTTTTATCTTTGAGTTGCATTTAGTAAAAGTTAGAAGCTGCCGAAAGTTTGTTTCCAAGTTGTGACATACATTTAAATGGATTCTACTTTGTTTAATATAATCTGGCATATTGTTATTTTTGTGTTCACCATTGTTGCCTCAAAACGTTCTCACGTTTATTATACAATCCACAATTGAGCCGCAATTTTATATGTCGATCTAAAAGTTAAATAAAAACAAGTTGTACAAAAAAAAAAACATACCCTAACGACATTGAATGTAGCTTTTGTTGAAAAGCAAGCAAAGCAGTTAGCGCCAGTAAGCCATTGATTGTGTTTGGGCCATAAATTTATTTATAAATTGTAAGAAGACCAGAGAAGAGCGGTAATTAATGTCGTAAAAGCAGCAAGTAATGATAGTCGCACAATGACGACGCTGGCGTTGATAACTTCATACACAAAAGGGTCGGGGGCTTAAAAGCCAGCGCACAAAGCCAAAGCATTGGCTAAAGACAAATAGGCCAGGCCAACACCTGGCGGAACTGGCAAGTCATAATTTGCACTTTAATGAAAGCGTCGCTGAGTTGAGATGCGAACTGCATGAAAGCTGGCGAGTCGAGCCGGGCAGAGGTAAGTTAAAGTCACTGCAGTTAATCGCCAACGACGTCGATTTGCCGGCCAAACGGTCAGCGGGGCAGTAATATGTAATTGATTCGCATGCTTCGGCTCCAATCTCAGGCACAGCCGACGGCTCCACAATCTTAGCTCGCAGCTCCCAGCCCCACTTGACAAACTATAACAATTACAGTGCCAGGCAATGCAACCCCACACCAGATGCATCTGTGGAGCAATCGCAGCAGCAGCAGCAGCTGGCACTGGGTAATTAAAAATAGTCAAGCTGCATTTCTTGTGCCGCATCCGGTTCGATGGAGTCGCCATCGTTGTTGTTGTTGTTGTTCTCGTTGTGGGCTGGTCTTCTGGATTTACATGAGCCGCGCTTTGTCTGATTTAATTATGTGCGCAAAAGGCGTCGTTGTTTCATAAATTTTATGTATCCTGTCGACGGCCCGCAAAAATGCAGTAGTCCAGTCAGTAGTCAGTAGTCGGTTCGGGCCAGGCCAAAACCTGGGCAACAGTAGCCGGTCGCCCGTCTGGTTTTACACACATAAATATGTCGTAGTCGGGAGATGCAAATGTTGTCAACTTTTGATAGACTTGTTGGCAGCGTCAAACAGTTGCCAACACGATTTGTCAACGATGATACCACGAATGCACACGCATCTCGCCAACTTGCCAACTTGCCACAATGTGTGTTGTGTACAAAGGAAATATGCTGTCATGATGTAGTCAAGTTGCTCTCGGCCCACAATCGGTTTAAACAGGTCCGGTTGGACACTGAAATGGCTCTTTGGTCTTGTTTCATTTTCTAGTTTGACTCTGCATGAATTTTTCAAAATAGAAAAGGTTGGACAATTTTTAACGAAAGTAAACATTGTTTTGTTCTTTGCATTAATAAAAAATATAATTTTAAAATGCCGAATGCATTCGAAATGTTTCCAAGTCAATGAATTATATTATTTTTTTTAGCTTTCTGGATCTTTAACTTTGTGAAAACTGAACTGAAAACTGAACATACTTTCATGGTAAATTTTTCTGTTAAAAATAAATGTAGGAAATTAGTGTAGATGAAATAATTTCAATTGTTATAATAAGATGTCAAAGACTATTGAGCTCTAACTATAAGCCAGTTCTAACAAAGTTATTATCTCAATGGAAGCCTTCCTCCCGTGGGAGTCTGCTTCCCAAACCTGTACCTAAATCTAGCCAATTTTCTAGCGGAAAACCCATTACCCAGCTGACTTAGTGTGCCTGTTTTTTCCCACGATGCGCAGAGCGCTAACAGTAGCTGGAAAAACTGCTGGAAACTGTCAAAGCTAATCAGACGCGGCACTCGCTGCGACAAGATCACTGCCAAAGAGACTCGCCAAAAACTCTGGCCACATGTAAATATGCATAAGGCACAGCAGCAGCAACAATAAGCAGCGGGATTTGAGGCTGCAACATCAGCATGAGCATGTTGATAATGGGTCGCTGTCGCAGACTTTTGCTACCAAATAAGCGGAACGACAACAACAACTAAAACTTTTGGTTACGTTGCTGTTTCAGATTTTTGCCGCCAAAGTTTTGCAAGTTGGGAGTTGGCAAGTTGCGTCTATGTAAAACTTCTAGCCAATTAACTTGGCGACCGGCAGACGAAGCGAAATGCTGCCAAATGCAACCGCAACCGCTGCTGGTGCCTTATGATTAGAATCGACGACAGGAGGCCGCCAAACAACAGCAGCAGCAGCAGCGGCAGCAACAGTTGCAGCAGCAACAACTAACCAAAGCTAATGAACCATGTTGCCGCTGATGAACCCAAGCTGATTAATGATGCCTGGCTAGCTTGCTAGCTCGACTAGCTGGATGCTTGGTTGGTAGTCGGTGGTTGGATGTCTGGACTGCTAAGGGAACTTGCATACAACTGTGTGCAATTTAAAGTTTTGGAGTTGCTGACTCTGTTACACTCAGAAAAAATTGATCGTTGCATTTAGAAAATACCACTGAAAATTACAACTCATATTGGTTTATTGGAAATATTTTCTAAATTCATTTAAAATGCTTGCTTTTTAAATATTTATTCTGCAGTTTTCAGAAATACCTTAAATTTTTGTTGTATATTTATTATTTTTTAAATATATCTTATTTTTTATATCGTGAAAATTGGGAGCATTGATCAATCTAAGTAATGACGACCTAATTTTTTTCAAGTGCACTTTATACCCGAGGGCAGCTAACAACTTAACTAGCTTGTATGGTGGGCTTAGGGTTGTGGCCAAAACAACAAAATAACGAAAAATAAAAATAAAAAAAGCAAGCCACAATTTTTCGGCCAGCTGTAGTAGTAGAAGAAGAAGAAGCTGCTGACAAAAGTTGCCCACTTGGCTGCTAAACAAAGGCCGCAAAACGCGCAGGCGCAGGCGCACCTGAGAATGTTGATAGCCCCCATGGAGCCTGAAGGTCCAAAGACTCCAAATAGCAACTGCAACAGCAACAACAACAACAACTTCAACTCAAACTCAAGTCCAAGTGCAAGCCGTTTTTTATGCCACTCAAGCCGACGACAAGGCGACCGAAAACAACAACAACAACAAACTGAGCTCTTGGCCAAGTTGGCAAGCAGTAGGGCTAAAAGGCTGTTGCTGATTGTTGCAGCCGTGGCTCGTTTGCGGGGCCCTTTATCACATGCGCACATCATTTACTCGACGCAGACGCAGCTTTGCAGCCTCCCCCCCACCACTCCATCTCTACTCTTCTCTGCTCTTCGTTGGTCTTCTCGCTTCGCGCACTTTAGCAATTGTTGGCTCTTAAAAGTGTTTGCGTCGTGACAAAATCAATGTTGCTGCCCAGAGAGTTGCTCGGCTTATGCGGCCTTTGACAGCCGCATTGGACAGTGATTCATGGTTTATTAAGCGCATTATGCCGCAGGATACTTTGAAGTTTGACCAGACAGCAGAAGCAGCAGCAGCAGTAACAAACAGGCGGCAGTTACAGTTGCCATGGGCGTAGCCAATGGGGGATATATAGGCAAATAGACCACCTGTCGTATTCGAGTGAAGGCAACTTTTTACATGCCTAAGTATTTAGACAGGCATCACCTATAACTTAAGTGCTCTGCGAAACACCAGTTAAACAAATTCATTAATTTCTTCAGATTTGAGAGATTATAAACATTATTTGCTTGAGCAATTAAATCCGCTACATATTTTTAATTATATGTTATGTTTGTTGTAAGTTTCCCAATCAAACAAAATTTTCTTTTCATCATAAAAACATTTGCTCAGCTGTCAATAGTCTATATTTTTCATACCAGACAGTTCCACATATGATAATGAAACGAGTTCACAATATGAATAAAATTACTGCCCTTGAATAAAGTAATTATATATATGCAGAGCAAATACTCCAAGTATCACATTTGCTTTAAGTTGAAGCCTTGTAAATTCAAATGAAGTACATTACAAGTAATATCTTTTGCCATTCCCCCAATAGTTGGGTTCATTGCTACGCCCATGACAGCAGCAACAGCCGGGGGGAGCAACCGCAACAGTTGCTGTGTTGCACGTGTTTAACGTGGCCCTTCAAATGTGGCAACTGTGGCGGCCGCAGCAGCAACAGTTTTGCCTTTGGCATTGGCAATGAACACTTGGCCGGGTCTTATGCTTCCCCTGCCGCCGTCTACATCCCTTTCCCCATTGTGTATAGGCGTACCGCCTCTTCACTTCAGCAATTGATTACTTAACATGTTTTATGCGTACGGCAAGTTATGTGGCGGCGGCGACTGGCGCGTTAATTTGCTGCCTGCTGCTGCTGGCCTTGGCTTGACTGCCTCTGACACTGCCTTTGCCTCTGCCACACAGCCACTTCACAGTCTTGGCCAAAACAAATTGCTGCGCGGCAGGCGCTGGCCCGTAAATCAGCGCACAAGTCAAAACACATCAACATCAGCATCGACAGCCGCATCAGACAGCAGCAGCAGCAACAACAGCAGCAGCAGTAACAACAACAGTTGCCCAGGCTAGACAAACAACAACAACAACAGCAACCACAACAACAACAACAACAACTCCCACATGGGCGTTTCAAATGCGCCTCAAAGCTTAAATCAATTGCACACACTCAAACACACTTGCACCTTTATGTTTGTGCCTCGTTGCATGTGCAGTTGGAATTAATTATGGCAAACAACATCAGCTACAAAAAAATCTCTCGCATCTAGTATTTATTCACATTTCCGAAATCTGAGTGCTTAGCTGTTGAATGAGATGAATTGCCAATAGCAACAAAAAAACAAAATAATAATAAAAAAAGAGATGCAGGCGAGCGATAAGAAATGCGCCGAAAACGCGTTGGTTGATTTATGCAATCTGTATATGCTGCTGCATATACCCTGTAATGCATTGTGTACAGAGTGC